ACAACACCCCCTCGCCCACATCCCCCCACCCCCCACCCCCGGCCCGCCCGACCCCCCGCCCCCCCCGCCCCAACCCCCCCCCCCCCCCCACACCCCCCCCCCCTTTTTTTTTTTTTTTTTTTTTTTTTTTTTTTTTTTTTTTGCTTGCTTGCAAGCGGTCAGCTATTACTGGAGTCTCATGACGCTACTACCGTCCAAGTATGCAGGCGTATCTGTCGATCGGATTTCGTGATTGGCTCGTGAAGTAACACGACGTCGCCAGTGGCTACGAAGTAGGAGAAACAAGATTTGTTGCTTTTTGGGGTTTCTGGTATTTAGGGCAAGATGACCATACCTAGATTTCATACAAGACCTTTCTGCCGTCCCCGCACACATCTACACGAATGGCTTCATCGCTATTTGTTGCCGCCCCGAATTGCTCACCTAGGTATGTCTCAGACCAAAGCAACGTTGCCCTCTCGCCGCCTGCTCTACCTCGCCTGCAGGGTGAAGATTATCCGAGTCGGCGGGTTCAGTCATTGGTTGTCAGATAGGACTCAATAGCAGTTCAGACTATTACAGTCGGTCTCGTCTCCGCTTTGCCGGGCAGCGGTTCACCTACCGGTGTACGGAGGAAAATAGCACGGAACTCCAATCAAGACCTAACGGAAAGCTCCAGGACAATACTTACCTAACTATTGACACTGAAAGTAGGTAGTTCAGCTCTCGATTTGCTTGTGGGCTTGTGGGGTGCTGTAGCGTATCTCTGGGGCAGATTGGGGCAGATTGGGGGCTATTCGGGGTTACTAGCACTTGGCGGGAACGACGGTTCGTTCTGCTAGAATTCCAACAGCCAATGATGGCACAGCATCTTATCGCAGCTCAAGTTACGTCAGAGCTCCTGTCATCCCCTTTATCATCCAGCAACGCAAGCAGCACATGGCGACATGGAGACATTCAGACATGAATATAAACTACAGCACAGGCGTGGGAGCGGGTAGCTATCGTTGACGAGAGTGGACGGGGCTAAGGGGCCCGGCTGAGGCCAGGGAAGCTCGCCTGGGCATAGCGAGATTCTCGGCGGACCACTCAATCAGCCAGAATGACAGCCACAGAGTCACTGTAGCAAGTAATATCGGGCCTCATGTTGCACGCTGCATCCAAATACATACCCGTAGATAGATAGGTAGGTACAGTATGTCAGGGCTGGAGCTGAGCCAGGGGGAACAGACAATAACATCTCGCGCCTAAACCTCTTCTTTACTCCCCTCCATTTCTCACGAGTTGACCTTGACAAACTCAACCACAGCCCTGTTTTTGCAGTGCGAAGTACTGGTAGTTGATATCCATCATTCAGAAAATCAAAAGCAGGTACGTGAAGAGATTTATTCCATCCCCATCCCAGCCACGGGTGACACACACCCACCCCTCACCAAGCTCTCGCTCCCCGGCCCATGGCAACATACCTGCGGTAACCCTGAGCGGGTGTGGGTGGTACCACCCAATGTTTGTTGGGCAACCGCCAGCTCGACGTTGTTCATCTCATATGCTCGACGTTTGCTACTCTTTCTTCCATCTCTCTCCAGCCTTACAGAACGTTATTCTCATTGCAGTCGCAACTACTAGTCTTCAACAAACCTAAGCATCTTTCTCAGTTCGTAAAGAAGACAATACCCCGGCCTATAAGCGCGCTACACAATGCCAGGCCCTGAAGTATCCCACGGTCGCGGTGGCGCAGGCAACATCAACCCCGACGATACGGAATACGTCGATGGCGAGATTGTGCGCCAGGGCGATGTCGGAACTCACGGTGATGGCGCGTACAGCACCGGCCGCGGCGGTAAGACAAGCCTACATGCCCACCCACTCCTCTCCCCATTCTCCCCTCTTCCGTTTTCTATATACATAGTATACACCGGAGCGCAAGGTAACGAGTTCCTCTAACATTTCCCCCACCAAACAGGCTCCGCAAATATAGCCGACAAAGATACCCCAGTAGCCCCGCGCGCAGACAAGGATGTCGTGCCCGTGGAAGCCCTGCGACCTTCGGTCGACGGCGAATTCCACACTGGCCGTGGCGGCGCCGCCAATGTCGTGCACGCTCCCGAAGACGACGGGAACGACGCCGCTGTCAAGCACCCGCCGAACCAGGGCCTCGCTGATAAACTGAAGCACAAGATATTTGGCATGTTCAAGAAGTAAAGCCAGCTGCGTGAGAATAGGGGAAGTTGATTGTTTAGTGCGCGATGAGGGAGACGGGGGTTTGCTTAATCTGCTGCGCGACAACGGGAAGGCATGGTTTTGGTTTGTTTCGTTTTCGCGAGATTGGTCGCGATCTCTACTACTTTCTTAATCTCCCTCTACACAGAGAGAGATTGTCCTTTTTCCCCAATGATATCCACTTCCGTTGCCACGATATAAGTCTACCCTACTTGCGAATTATTTGATTGTTTGCCTTTAATGTTGCTACGTAGGTACTTGCCTACTTACTCAAGTATCAGGTGATGAAGTGACAGCAGTTCTTATCAAACTCTGTTTTAACAACTGCAACATTTTAGCTCGCCTTTTTCCGCGACAAAGAGCGCAAAGCGATTTATTTCTTATTTACTTTCTGTTTAGGACGAATATGTACAAAACATGTGACGGGACTCGAAAGTCCCAGGCATGGTACGCAACCAAACTGCCTAAGACAGTGCCCGTATTTGCACCCAAGCAAAGCTTTTCTGAGTTTGAGTTGCTCTCCTCCTAGTTGATGTGCTTATTTCAAAGTGTTCACGATGGCGTTGTACGCGCTCTTGGGGCTGAAGTTGGAGTCGAAGAGCAGAGGATTGTTTTGAGCTCTCCATGAGTCCTGTATTGGGAGGGGAATCAGCAATCACAGTTCCACCGGGGGAAAGGGATGAATGAGAAAGAAATAATGCCGCTTACAGGGTCGCGGACACCCCACACGGTGATACCGACGCACTTGGGCTCGTTGAGACAGGCCTGGGTCACGGCGACGTAGTCGTTGGCAGGCGCGTTGACGATGTCCAGCTCTGTGATGGCTACCTCGCTGACGCCGGTGGCGGCCAGTGCCTTGATGGTGGCTCCAGCTTGAGAGGCCACTGGATTCAGGGTGAGACGCGGTTAGCCCAGTCTACTGATTCACTGATTGATATGCACTTACATCCAGAGCCAAGATGAGCCTGGGATCCGATACCGTCGATGGGGACGCCGGCAGCGATCCACTTCTTGACGTGGTTGATCATACCAGTCGTCACCTTGGCGTAGTTGGGCTGGTCGAGATTGTAGTCGTTGATATAGAGCTTGGCATCGGGGTCTGCCTTGCGCGCAGCCTCGAAGGCGATGCGGACAAAGTCCTCGCCGAGTACCTGCGAGAACACGGACTGGCGGAGAGACCCGTCTTCGTTGAAGATCTCGTTTACGACATCCTGGAGATCAGAGGGCATTGAGTAAGCGAGGGCGAGCAGGAAGGAGAGAGACGGATTTACGTACCCAGGCGTAGATCTTTCCCTTATATCGCGTCACGAGCGTCGTGACGTGGTTCTCGAGGACACTGGTAAGCGTCGCCTTGTCCCGGATCTGGCTGACCCATCCCGGCAGCTGTGAGTGCCAGCAGAGAGTGTGGCCTCGGATCATCTTGCCATTCTGGGTAGCCCAGTTGACGAGATAGTCGGCTCCAGCGAAGTTGAATTGTCCGCGGCTAGGCTCGGTCGCATCCCACTACAAAAGCAAGCCCATCCTGTTAACTCTCTTGATCCATGGATTCGCAGCTTCCCTCGCTTCTGCCTAGAGGAAGGTAAGTAATTTACCTTCATGCTGTTCTCCGGTGTGACTTGTCCGAAGTCAGCCTGGATCACGGCCGCTGATTTGCCCGTGGTTAGTCGGTTCTGTTCACCAACGGAGTCAGTATTATGTAACACCAACAATATCGCGGCGTACAAGAGCGCCGGGGCAAAACCATCAACAACGAGCCTTTATCCCAGCGATACGCCGGGAGTAATAGAGACGTAGATATCGCGGCGCACTAACCTGGTCGGCACAGGTGCCGTAGTATTTCTTTCCCTTGGCCTGGATCAGAGTGTTGATGCTCTCCGAGGCTTGTCTCTCAGACAGCTCGGCGGGAGCCGCTAGGGCCGCGATCGGCGCAAGGAGGAGCAGGAGTGCTGACTTCATGGTTAGTTAGTCTCGTAGATCTGTTTCGATGATTTTCCTTTCTCCTATGATCATCAACTCAGCGAGAGCGAGGCAATGTGTTATATAGGCCCATAAGAGCGGAGTATATGGCCCGAGGGGTAAAAGGGGTCATCTTCCGTCATATATTCGGAGAATTTTATATTGAAATCCAATAGGCGCATTTTTTTTTTTTTCACCTCCTGGATGAATTCTTGACTTAAGCTGTTTCAGACGTTTGAGTTAAAGCTTGGATTGCATCATGGGCAAAATCTTTGGGCCTTTTGGATTAAAATCTAATAGGTGCATTATTTAATCCCCGACTGAGCTTGTTGACTTTAGCATGTTTCACATTTGAGGCAAGCTTGGATAATACCCTAGTTACACTGCTGTAACAACCTCCTCTACGATAGAGAATAGGACGATATTAATGTCATGAGAGGTAACGCGATGCTAATGAGTTCATTAACTGAGGACGTACTATGTATGTAATCTGAAGCATCAAGGCCGTATCCTGTGTCATAGTAGACGCGCGGAGTGTTAGGTAAGTTTGATGGCGGCTGATATATAGCCTGAACTCGTTGACCCGACGGGGCGACCCAGATCCACGAATGGTAGCGAATAGCTAAGCGGTGTTGATCGAAGAGGGCTACAGTAGCCTGCCCCATGTTTCTGAGGCTCTCAAGTTCATCAACTTTTCCTTCGTTACAATACCTACTTTATTTTTTTCCGTGTGAATCAGGATATAGCTTCAAAGGCTTGGACATAATGTTAACAATTATAGAAGCAGAAAGCAGAATCATTCCTACTAATGTATGTGTACGCCTAACTTAACTTATGCAGTATGCATCGAATTGCGACATAAAGCAAGGCCTAAGTGTCAAAGGCTGACCAAGAAATTGTGCTTAAATCTGTAAGATCTACGAGCATGTTACTCACCCCTGATGACGTTCAACCCAACATCAGGCGAATCCGGGGTGCAGATGATGTTGTCTTAAAATCGGCCGCCACTGTTATCAACACCGGCTAAAACGGACCAATAGAACTGAGGATAATTTAGGGTTGGCTGGACCGCTTGGCGTCCGTAAATTGCTATTGGAGAAAAGCAGAAAGGTTGGCTACTGTGAATGGAGGATGTTGTCTTGGAAAGACGATGGAATATCTGTTAACCCGGCTATGGGAGCTGTTCATCTTGTAAGTAGTAGCTTGGTCTCAGGTACATGCTGCATATCCACACTGCATCCCTACCGATGATGATATGCCAATCTTTTGGGTTCGAGTTGTTAGTGGGCAACCAACATGGTGTGAAATTCGATATCACGAGCGACATCGTAACGGTACGCTTTGTTCGTCGTGGAATGGTGAGACATTCTTGTTATTAGTATGTATGCGAGTAAGTGTAGCGCATTGTGATAGTCACATGGCGGACCCAGTCGGGTTGATAGGGAAAGCTTCAACCTGCAAAGGGCCATTCAGAACCAACAACTCCAGGTGTGGCTGTACACTACGCATGCGCGACTTGAGCAAAAGTGAATAACCAGGTATTCGGGGCGTAGCACAGCATACGAAGTAGGTGCAATTGAAATGCCAAATTCTTCAACAGAACATCCAAGGAATCAAAGATTTCAGTATAGTTATCTCGAGATAATACTGTAACACCACATACATCAGATCAGATGGTGCGGCATCAGTCTGGGACCAGGCTAGAAGGATAATTGGAGTCCCTATGCAGGCAATGCAAGAGGTTTCGATCCCCTGAGTATCATGATGAACAGGACCCTGAGACCATGATGAGATGTGTCATGGCAGTGATGGTTCTTCACAAGAGGGTGTGATGACTAGCATAACGCATCGGCCATGATGGTTAGTTTTCCTCGATCTCCCCACGCAAAACCACAAGGGACTATTATCTATACATAGTACACTTCAGTCGCGGGGTGAACTGCCCAGAACAGAGGAAATACTACAGTATGTAGAGTAGCGTTCTGAGCGTACTAGGTATGTAGTCTGCGTACATAGTAGGTACTACACTAAAATAGTGTCGGCCAGTCTGCCGACTAAGGCTCGTAGACGCTTTGCTAGGTATAGATTGTCTGGTGGCCATCCTAAAGGGGAGGTGTAGGAATGTTGGATGGAGATGGATGGAGATGGACGGGCCCGCCTGACCCCATCTTGGCACCAGGACGAGGGGTTGGGGGGGCTGTTCCTGTTGTCAAGTGGTGTTGCTGGTGCTTCTTTGAGGCAGGCTTGCTTGGAGACCATACGAGGTTACGGACAGAGTCAGGCGTAGAACCCTTGATCTATCTATTGTTCTACCCATCCAAGCTCCCTCTCTCCTCTCTTCTTGCTTCCTTTGTTGGTGGTTGGCTGTTGGGCGGTTTCTTTCTTCCTTTCGACGTCACCAACGCTACGCTACCACCACCACCATCATCGAGCGAGCTGACTGTTGCATAAAGTAGGAAGTGCACAAGATCTTGCGTGACCGCACACAGACGCGGTACATCTGCCATCTGATTGACCAGAAGTGAAAAGGTGGGAAAGTTGGGCGAGCGCCGCGCCATGAGGGATTGATATCTGTGCGGAGAGGAGAAGGGGGTATTTGATCAAGATACCAACTCCTGATCACACTGTCTTTCTCTGCCTTGGCATCTCTTCGACGCAATACGACATGATACCAAGTCGCAGTCGATGAACGGCGTGCTGAATGAATCAAGGAATTCCAGTAAGCGTGTGACTTTACAATCCAAGACTCTTTTTGCACGTGTTTCTGATGATTTTCCCATTAGGAGAGGAGGCCTTATCCGCAAGTATTAGCGAGATACCAGGCTGCTGTGACGCCATTCTTCCGTTCCTCCGCTCTTCAACAAGCCATACAAGAAGCCATAATTACCACATATTGTTGTAGGGGACAACCTTGGTCACCTTGGGTTACCTAAGGTTACCAGGTAAGGTTACCTTAGGTACTTACCTAGGCAGCGGCCTCGGGTTACAGCGGTGCATCACTGTGGCGTTACCGGCCTCCCCCTGGCCTTCAGCGTCAGCTCGAGTTTCAGCCAATCATAGAGCTCCCTGCAACCACTAAACCAGACCATAGGTCCAGAGGCAGCAATGGCCCCTCGGCATGAGCAGCCTCCCTTACCCTTACAGCGTCCGCCACCGAACCCTCGCCTGCTCTCTGTTCAGTCTATCGCCTCCAAGTATTCCATCCGCTCCCACTCATCGTCGTTCGAGGCCGACGATGAGCGTTCTACCACCACTTCAGAGTCTTTTAGGATGAGTCCGCGCGCCAGCATCGACGCTGGCGACATGCCACCATCCAATCCCCGGTATCCTGGTGAGGACACCCGTCCTACCAGCACCAAGGAGCTGGCTGGTTGGTATATGTATTCCTTTGCTGCCGAGACATATGTCATCTGTGGTACGTCTAGCATATTCCATCCATCTTAAACTGTCTGTTATGTTGAGTCGCCTCGCTAACTCTGCTCACAGCTATCTGTAAGTAACAATCTTAAATTCTCTTTGTCGTGACAGTCCCCGAAAACTCCCGCGATAATACTGCCATCTGCCGGAAGCTTACCGTATCACGACAGCCTCCTTCATCCCCATACTTTTAGAGAGTCTAGCAAGGGAAAATGGTGTTCTTCTCTCGGACCGTACGACGCCATGCGGCGACAGTGCTAGGAAACATCACGGCTCTCACGAGGATAGTCAGTGCATTGTGTCCCTTTTGGGAGTCGATATTAATACTGCGAGTTTTGCCATGTACACTTTCAGCATAAGTGTGCTCTTACAAGCGTTCCTCGTAGTCAGCATTAGCTGCGCCGCTGATCATGGGAACTACCGGAAACGCCTGTTGCTTATATTTGCTTGGACTGGTAGCGTCTGTGTCATGTGCTACATTTTTATATTCAAGGAAATATACCTGCTAGGCGCCGTGCTAGCCATAATATCCAATACCTCGTTTGGAGCGTCTTTTGTCTTGCTTAACTCGTTCCTGCCGCTTCTTGTTCGACACCACCCCCTAGTCCAGGAATCAGCCGCGGGATTTCCGGTCGAGGATGAAGTCGAGGAGCCAGTGCCCGATTCGCAGTCCCTCGCGACTTCGCCTACCCTCACAGAACATCCGCTCGCCAACTCAACAACCGCTCTACTCCGACCAGGCGATACTGACTCGGAATACTATAATCTACGACGTGTCCCAACTCACGAAGAACTCACTTCTATTGAGCTCAAGTTGTCAACCGAGATATCGGCAAAGGGTCTCGGCATCGGCTATGGTGCGGCGCTATTTGTGCAATGTGTCTCTATCATGATGCTTGTTGCCCTGGGGAGTTCAACCTGGTCGCAGCGAATCGTCTTGCTATTCATCGGATCGTGGTGGGCGGTTTTCACAATTCCCGCAGCCATGTGGTTGAGACCGCGTCCCGGTCCTCCTCTAGCGATAAATAGTCGTCAGGGCGTAAAGGCGTGGCTGTCTTACATCGCGTTCTCCTGGAAGAATCTATTCCGCACGGTCAAACTGGCTCGACGTCTCTTGGATATTGTTCTGTTCTTGGCTAGTTGGTTCCTGATTTCTGATGCGATCGCAACAACATCGTCAACAGCCATTCTCTTCGCCAAGACGTCGCTCGGCATGAAACCTTGGGCATTGGGTTTAATCAACGTCATTTCTACTTCGACAGGCGTTATTGGAGCCTTGAGCTGGTCTTTCGTCTCTTCACATTTCAACCTCAAACCTCATCAGACCATCCTTAGCTGCATTGCTCTTTTCGAAGTGATTCCTATATACGGATTACTAGGCTATTTACCAGCTGTTCAAAGATGGGGGGTGTTCGGCCTTCAACAGCCATGGGAAATGTACCCTTTGGCTGCCGTTTACGGCCTTGTGTTAGGAGGCCTGAGCTCCTACTGTCGATCACTGTTTGGCGAACTCATTCCTCCAGGATCAGAGGCGGCTTTTTATGCGTTGTACGCCATCACGGACAAGGGGTCTAGCATTTTCGGGCCTGTTATCGTCGGCGCCATCATTGACGCCTACGGGGAGATCCGGCCAGCGTTTTGGTTCTTAGCACTGCTTGTCGGCTTTCCTGCGCCGATCATCTACTTTATCAATGTGGAGCGCGGTAAAGCTGAAGGTGAGAAGCTCGCAGAGGTTATTGAAGGATTCAAGAATGACGAGGGCATTCGTGACGATAACCATGGAAACGGGGATGAACGTCAGGGCATGCTAGCAGGTTATCAAGGAAACGATGAGGGAAGATTCCCCTAACAGTTGCTTACACCATGAATAACAGCGGTTGATTCACTTTTCTTGCTTCAATTCTGCATAGCGACGGCGTTGGCTGCTCTTTTAGCGAAGAACCAGGGTTAGTTTTCAAACAGGACGCGCCTGATATCAATGGATGAGGTTTAATATGGGGACAATGCCGGCTTTTCCGTAGTTCCTTGATTATGTGAACGAACGGCAGGTGCCTGAGACAATGAATAAGCCAACAACACCTACCTACAATAAGGGCTTGGTGCCTCTATTCCCGGTGCTTACTCCACTATAGCCATCGTTCCCGGATGTAATCATAGTGTTAGTACAGAACAGAATGAGCGCCAATACGAGTAGTACGGCCGAAGAAACATTATGTTTCTCGTGTCTCACCAGGAGAGCATACCAAGTATTCGCATTGTCAAGTTGTACTCAGCCACCCGTACAGCTACGCTAGGTACTCACTGTAGCTTCCCTACCTGTGGCTGAGGTGGGAACATTGAGGTCCATCGCTGCGGAACCTCTGTTGGCAACCAACTATGTTATGAGGCGGCCGTACATGTAATGTAGCCTATAGACGGTCACAACCCCATAACGAAGCAGACCAACTGTACATACGTAGTAGTTGCGATGCCGCGCTTGAGTCCGTGAGCATAACGAAGCTTATTGTCATTGGACGACAGAAGTGATGGCACCTAGCACTCGACAACCAACGAGCCAATGCAATTGCTCCAAGGAAGGTGATGACCATCCTGGCTCGGGGAGCCTAGTGCTCTGGTGGAGAGTGTGCCAAGAGCCAAGGCTACTTGGTAGGATTTGGCTAGAATAGGAATGAGAAGGGGAGAGCCGAAGGGATATCTACGAAGTACGGGGCAATCTATGGGGCGATAACATGGGAGGATCACAGACTCTACCTTTTGTTACGGAGCACCTCGTCAACCCCATGCTCGCTCATTGGAGCTAGATACTAGATACAGTACCTAGCTTGTGTTCGAAGGTCCTCGGCCTCCAACAAGTCGAGTTACCGACATGGACATGGACACACGAAGTAGAATCAACCAACAACCAACCCAACCTAACCCACTTGGCAACGCCCGCGCCAGCACTTGCACTTGCACTTGCACTTGCCCGCGCCTCCACCACCCCCCCAAGACTCATTCCCCCGCCACCTTAATAACTCCATAGCTAATAACAATATACAATTTTATATTCCTAACATACATTACACTAGACTACACCTTGGGCTGGACGTACCTGTCTCCCTCTAGCTTACCCGCCTGTCTTATTTGTGCCGTTTTGCCTCTTTTCGCAAACACGTCGCCCAGTTTTGCCTTGCCTTGGGAACGACGTCAATCTCAATTACTTCCGCGCCCAAATTCTGCTGGGACACATCGCTCACGCAGGGATCGGGACGCCGGGACACGCCCGCATCATTGACCAGAGATCCACGCGACACCCTCGACCCGGGCCAGCCGCCCTGTGCGACGAGCTGTGGTTGTTTGCCTTCAAGGTCAATTGCGCGACAGAGAGGACACCGTCTCCTCCACGCAGCGCGCGATCATCAAGATAAAGGCTTTGCTTTGCTTTACTTTACTTTACTTGACCCGGCATCTCTATATAATTCGCATCTCGTCACTATCTCTGTTATCTGTCGTCATCCGCTATCTGGCGCATTGCTCTTGCATATCGCATTCATTCAGGGTTCGCCTACCTACCTCTACTACTCACAATGGCGGCCGCTCGCAAACGTCCCCGACCGGATGAGGACACACAGGCCGAATGTCCCTTCACGGTTACACACCCTGACCCAAATGAAAAAGACAAAAAGTCGAAGCGCAGACGACAGGAGTCCGAGGACCAGCCGGTTCCCAAGATACCCCTTCAAGCTACTCCATTTTCGCCCATGGGCAAGTTCACAAAAGACCCCAACAATACCATGGATAGATATTACCAAGTACATCCTTACCAGAAGTGGATGGATATGACGCGGTATAACAGTTTTGTCTGTGCGTGGATATCTTTGACAAAGCCCCTAATATTCGCGTCCCAACTAACACGTCCCTTTTAGTAAATGGGGTCAAGTACTATAGCGAGGGCTTCATTTTTGTCGCCAATAGTTCGACGATTGAGCGCCAAAAGAACCCCGGCGAACCACGACCATCGAGGCAAAAGTCTGATGATGATTGGGTGGCAAGAATACTCGAAATCCGCGCCAGCGATGAACACCACGTGTATGCGCGTGTATATTGGATGTACTGGCCGGACGAGTTGCCCGCGGGCACCCTGGAGGGGAAGAAATATATTCAAGGGAGACAACCTTATCACGGCCAGAACGAGTTGATCGCGTCGAACCACAGTATGCTACTCATGCCAATCTTGTCGCTTAGCATAGTCGCTAATATTTCTTCAGTGGATGTCATCAACGTTGTCAGTGTGACTGCGCAGGCTACTGTGAACCAATGGGACGAAACAAACGAGGATGAGGTCCAGCAGGCCTTGTATTGGCGCCAGGCCTTCGATGTTCGGAATATGGAGCTCTCGGTATGATGCGACTCTGCAGTAATTTGGCACTTGACAAAAGGCTAACAAAAACCCCAGTCTGCGCAACCACGATGTAAATGCAACCGTCCCGAGAACCCTGATAAGCAATTGATAAACTGCACGAATAGCGAATGCAGGAAGTGGCTACACGACGACTGTCTAATCCACGAGGCTCTGATGAAGACATATGCACGACTAGGAACGGACAAGCCTCATAAACCAACACGTGTGAAAGCCGAAGAACCGGAGGGTGGGCAGCGGCCACTCAGTCCAAGCGAGTCAGGAGCGGCGCAAACGGCTCAGCAATCCATCGACGTCAAATCAGAGGATCAGAAGACCATCAAGCTCTCAGATGTCGAGGTTGGCGGGTCCTCTGCAAGTTCAGAAAGTCAAACGCTAACGGTTGCTACGGGCACGGAGACGAAGCGCAAAGGACGTCCTCGCAAATCTGAGGTGGGCGAGGTGGTCAATACCAAACCATACGAGGGGCTATTCACAGCTATTATTAACGACACGTCAACCCCCGTAGTCGAGATCCAGGACCTTCGCGAGAGCGTTACAGGCGGTGAGAAATCGTGGACGGAGCCTCTCCGCTGCCTCCTCTGCAACGCTGACATCCATTGAGAGGCACTGCCACAATTCCTGACAAAGTTAAAGAGAAGGGGGTAAAAAAAAAAACATTGGTGCAAGGTTTTCATCCAGCGAGCTTAGCTTATTTTCAAGGTTCTTTATATCTGCGGCTCTTCTGTTTCTTTGCTATCTTGGCGTTCCGGAACGAAACAAATGATACCCTGCAAATTTTGCTTTGCGGGGAATATTTTAGTTTTCCTAAGCTATCTTACCTATCCGCCCGTGTGAAGTTAAAGGCGTGAGGATATAAAGTTTTTTTTAAGTTTTTTTTTTTTTTTGGAAGGGGGTGCGGGGGGGGCCGAAGTTGAGTGAAAACAATCTATCCATCGAAGGCATCAATAACATCCGATGCTCACGAAAGTTGGAGATGTATTGGGGACTTAGATTTCGTTTTGTACGCAACTACCCCTTTCTTCCATTTTCCATTTGGAAAGAAAACCCCCATTTTAGGTAGATGTATGTATGTATGTATGTATGTATATGTATACCTGTCGTACATCTTTGATGTGTTTTGTTGGAGATGCTGTTGGTCTTCTTGCGTGGAGGGGATCCTTTGGGAGATGCATGGCGCGGCATAGCATATTACAACTATACTATTTACTACCTCCCTCATCTTGACATGGACCTTGCTACGTTGTGCCGTATTGCTTGGCTCGCCAGTTGATGTGCCTGCTGATTGAGCTTGGGTATATCGATAGTTGTAGGATGTTAGAGTACGGATATTCACAGCCAGATATGTTGTTCTAGCAAGCATGCTGGTTGGTTTGTTGAAGCTCGTACGGCATAGCGGGACCATGTTCTCTCTATTTGCCCTCTACTCAATGGCCCGTATCTCCTCAATCCAAGTGAGAGGGAGAAGTCTACAAGAAAGGGTGAGTAGTCAAGAAAGTAGATGTCAAATATGATTCTTTTTCCTTTTTCCCATTCCTTTTTCCCTTTTCTTCCCCCTTTTTTATCTTTGAATGCATTTAAACGGGTCCTGAGCACCCCCTCCCCTTTGTGGGCCAGCCTACCTGGCAGCTACTGGCCCCACTTTTGGCCAGACAAGTTGAAACCCCACCATGCATCACCATCCTCATTCAACTCGGTGCATGTCCAGCTTTACCGAGTCCTTGACGAAAACAAAGTTACATCCAGTACCCTTGGGTCCTCATAGTGAAAAGGGCTCGTAGCGTCTCTCGATACTCACCATGGCGGCCGACGATCCCTTCGACTCCGCACTGTATGTATAAGTTTCACAGCTCTTCCCAGCCTACCCCCTCATCTCTCCCATGACCTGTGCCCGTAGACCAGTCTGCCGGATAATAGATGCTCTCAACGCCTGGTCTCTAAGCTAGCGACAAAACTATCTCCTTATCTTCAATGTCTTGTCTTTGGACGAACACAGGCACAATCCCTACCAGACGAGCGAGCAAGCTAGCTAACATCGGTGCTCTCCCCAATCCAGCGACCTCCTCCGCCGTCTCAACCCAAAGCACACCTCGGCGCACCTTAATGCGCTAATCACGCTTGCCCCAGATCTCACTGAGGATCTCCTCTCGTCCGTCGATCAGCCGCTCGCCGTACGCCGCTGCCGTCAGACCGGACGCGACTACTTGCTCTGCGACTACAACCGCGACGGCGACAGCTATCGATCGCCATGGAGCAATGAATTCGATCCCCCGCTACAGGACGCCCCTGCCAGCGGCGACGATGACCAGAGCAATGCTGCAGGACTCCCGAGCGAAAAGGTCCGGCGTATGGAGGTCAAGGCCAACGAGGCGTTTGACTTGTACAGGGAGCTGTACTACGAGGGTGGCGTCAGTAGTGTCTATTTCTGGAACTTGGACGACGGGTTTGCAGGTGTTGTGCTATTGAAGAAGGGTTAGTTGCTAACCACCGATCCCTTTCTCTCACTCTTGTAGAAGGATGGATGAATGAATAGACGGAGGAGCCTCACAACTGACTGGGTGATTGCAGTGGCAACCCCTGGGTCCGGTAGTGAAGGGACCTGGGACTCGATACACGTATTCGAGGCCATCGACCGGGCGCGGCTGACGCAGTACAATCTGACGTCGACCGTGATCCTCTCGCTCGCAACGGACTCGAGCACGCTCGGCGAGATGGACCTCTCAGGTAACATGACGCGGCAGATCGAGATCGAGCTGCCCGCTGAGAGCGAGGCACAGCAGATCGCAAACATCGGCAAGCTCGTCGAGGATATGGAGCTCAAGATGCGCAACCTCCTACAGGAGGTGTACTTTGGTAAAGCGAAGGACGTGGTGGGTAATTTGAGGAGTCTGGGAAGCCTGAGCGAGTCGGCGAGGGATCAGGAGGCGCAGAGGGATATCATGGCGAGTATGAGACGATGAGCAATCTGAGCCCGCATTTGTGTTTTTTACCTCGTGTGGAGAAATATTGGTTGCGCTTCATGAGATGAAACGACATGCAATGTGAACGAATGAACTGGAACGAAAAGTATAAGAACGATATCATATACATTTGCTATGAGGAAGGGGCATGAGAGAAAACTATTAAAGCTATATACAGCTACACAACTACCTACCTACATTACCAGATATACCGCTACTTAGACAGCAGGCGTTTCGTTCAGATATTGCTGCATACTGAATCCTTCCTTCTCCATTTAGCTCAGGGGGTTGGGGATTGATCACAAACTACATTTGTCTAAGATAGAAACAGACATGGTATAAATTATACTCTAACTTTATGGCATTGTATCGCTAGTGAGCAATTCGGATTCATTTATGAAATCTTTACTCCCGAAATATTGTTCTTAGATACCTACAAAGTTGGGTACTTACTGATTATAACATGTTGATAGTTTGTAAGGTCAACAGAACAACATGTGATGCGTAGATACTTAATGTATTAGTGTCGCGGTTTCGAGGCTCTGATGAAATGTACGAATAGGGTGGAAGAATATACACGAAGATAGAACCGGCTGACGGAGACATGTATACAACCAGGTTTCTTTCTATCTTCTAGAAATAGATTTGCTTGTTCCTGCGAATTAGTCAAATTCTCACCACGAGAGGAAATCCTGAAGAGGTTAATTAAATATCCATATTGGCATATATAGCAGTACTACTAGGTATTTGAGTATCCGGTGCATCGATTTTTACTCACAATCCATAAAACTTAACGTGTGTACACGCCCTACTACTATTACTCTGTATATAGCTCAAACTCCAGAGCTGTGAGTGAATATCTGGGATCACCTATTGGTTATAGCTGATTCAAGAGAGCTAAGAATATGCCGCCAGGTGAGAATGAATATATTGTTCTCTTTTTCTTATCGTCTTTCTACTCCCTGTAGCTCACCGCTGGTTCGGTGAGAGTCAAGGACTATCCAGTTGTATGATATTCGAGAAAGACACAGCCATACAATCGCCTTCTTTGCTTGTCCATTATTCGCTTGCATACTGAACCACCCATATCAGCAAGACAATGAGGAAACGTACACGTATAAGTGACCAAGGTACAACAGCAAATATTTGCTGCCTACAAAAGTACTGGGCCCAACACTATTCAGCTTACAGTGGTAGTTATGGAGTGAGGCAGTCCAAATGCCGGTCCAGAACCCGAGGAGATGGGTACTCGTAGACTAGACTAGGCTCTAGCTACTTACATCACGCCGTCGTCGACTATAAAATACCTACCCTCGCTCGTTGGTGGCGTTCTTTGTCAGTTAATGACTAACGAACCCCGAAGATTATTCAGCCAACAGTCTTGGTCTAGAAGTAAATATTCTAGCCCTTGCCGGAAAAGAGGGATAAAAACCAACCTCATCTCGTCTATGTACTTGTCGTGGCTCTGGCTCTGTAACACTAGTACCACGCCGTCTGCGCATGTATCCCACATACGTAGGTAGTATATTTACCGAATCCTTTCCGCACCGACTATAAATATAAATAGATGCAACGATCACACGTCGGTCTACACAGGTACCTATCACGCTCTCTCATCTCGAGGCTGCTTCTTTTCTCCTCTTCTGGTGTTGCAATTTTGCAACCTTCTTACGTGTTGGCGCGGCCTTTAATGCTTTCCCTTTTTAGAACTTTGCCTAGGCGGGTGAACGAGAGTATTTGTGTATCCATCACTGTCGTAGGCTATTCGAAACTTGTTCTGCGCTCGCTATGTAATGTAAATGATGAACGGGTGCTTGGGTGTATATGGGTATGAGAAAAAAAGCAAAAGAGAGACGTCGAGCATTTTTACACGTACACGCCGCAGTATGCAAGAAACACGCCATCGCTACGTATATAACCTGAGGCTGCTTATCTGTATTTAGTATCTACATGTGCCTATCTGCAGTTGCTGTTGGTTCTCGACGTAGGTATCATGGTCTAGACTCGCGTGGATCGCTGTATCGACATACCATCTATCCACTATATGCTGTAGTGTGGAAAGATAGATGGCTTTTCCTCATCACGCCAAGACACCTCCCTCTCTTCACCGAACCACGTGAAGCGGTGTCCACGCATACTGCTGCGTGACCCCAATCTCACTCTTTTGGCTGTTTCGTCTGTCTCTCACATGTCGAGAAGCTTACATACATGTACGCACGCACGCACATACCTACTACGCTTCTCACACCTTTACCTATCTACCCACGTATGAGCAAGTTCATTTTCTACCCGCTCACCAACCTAGATATACTTATTTAGATAGGGCGGTGGGATAGATGGTAGTATAGTACATGCAAACGTCAGCATTTATCAATTTCATCTACTAATTGCGTATGCAAGTGAGAAGGCTGTTGGATATACTGTATGTACTTAAATGTTATCTGGTCCGCGACCCTCGTATCAAACTTATTTACACCGGGCTTGGCACGTAGCATTCACCTTACATTGCCACGTGTTTTTTCTTATTTGTCCGCTTACTTTCGCATCAGCAATCAGCATCATCATCTATCGACGGGAGATCAGCACACCGTGATATTCCGTCTTGACGAAGGCACTTAGTAAGATACTTTATACTATTGTCCGATATCACAGGGGAGATAAGACATTGCATTAAGCGCCTCGTCGAAACATATTGTCTGGGTCATGAAATCTTGCTCTCTTTCATCCTTCTTGTCTGCGCTGATCGTATGACGGACAATATGCCGTCGGGCTTTCCGCACGCCTTGTGTATAACGAACATATAGTGGTACGAGAGTGAGATCGAAAGACTAGTCTATAATGTCAGTATTGAAAAACAACTGATGAAAATCTCCGACGGCTTGGCTATAGTAGACAAGGTCCTTACTTAATTATACCTACATTAGGTACACTACTTGACATGCTGTAAGGCAGACGACGCGTCTTCCACAGCGGGGACGGGGAGATCATTCCGGTCGAGCCCCCAAAAGCTTCTGATGGACTGAAATAACTAGGCGATAGTCCGACGATCCCGGGAAAGGTGTGAGAGGACGTCAGAGCCTACGTTAGTAGTATATTTCTAAGAGTGTACGTAAGTTCAATTCGACCAGAGACCGGAGATTGGCCGGTCTTGAAGTGAAAGGCTTTTTCCGTTCCCGTCTCTCTATTGGGGCAACTAGTCAAGTTTTCACGGTGCTCGTATGTACTGGTAGGTACCTAGTTATTTTTTACGATGCCTGGATAGGCTTGGTCACTCAGCGAGGTAGCCTTGTCTTGTGCCCGTAGAGTCAGTCATATTGAGCAATATGGAATTGCCAATCTCCTGTTGAAACGGCTGGGTCGGTAAGAATAAATTGTCAGATGCACAGGAGGTTTTGTAAGAGAATGTGTAACGTGTAGTGTAATTCCGCTAATGACACTGGTGTTTGCTTAGTATCTTAGCTGCGGTTCTAGCATATATGCCGAGCGTAACAATACAAGACCGGAGGATGGAAATGTGGGGAAATAAAAGGTATTAAGGGAGAAAACAGACAGCTGTTTGCGAAGAATTTACGATCTTTTGACGTATCAAAGCGGCAGCTAGAAATAAATTAGGTAGTGGACGTCAGTGAGCGGGAGCGAGGTTCGGAGAGCCTCAACAAAGGATCCCCTCTGCGAGTCTTGGCTCCGTCTTTTTTTTAATACTCTCTTTTCCTGTTCTGGCAGCTGATTAATGCAGAACCCATAGCGGCTACGCCAACGGCAAGATCACGGTCGTTCTTTGAAGACCGTCATATGTGAAGACTGTTTTCTCGTATTAGCACTGAACGGAGAATAATTTAGTTGGTACTGTAGCATAGTGCACTAACAGTATGGATGATGGAGAGACCGAAGTACATAGTAAAAAGAAGAAAAGGCAGGAAAAAGTACGTCAGAACCGAAAAGGGTAATAGAGCCGGTTTTTTTTTTGTGAAGAGTAAAATAAGAAGGAGAAGAAAAAGCAGAATTGCTCTATGACTGGCTATTACCTACAACTCTACGGTACGCTCTGTCATTATTGGTATCCTGGTTAAATGGTTGTCGCTAGAGTCAGTTGTCCAGGGACTGGAAGGATCTGGAGAAAGAAAGCTGACAGGACAGGGGTCTAGACTGTGGCAGCAGATCTAGTCCGAAGAGGGAAAAAATGTAGAAATTGGAAAAAGTTTGGCGGAATGGGGCTTGCTGCATGGAAGGTTTCTAGAAGTTTTCTCCATACGGTTGGATCCTTGTCGGTGGGGTCGAGACCCTTGATCCTTTGATGATGCCTGTACAATACTGACTTGACTGACTGTACACAGGTCTGACAGGTTTGATTGTCAAACAACGTCTGTGGATTGCGAATTATGGACTGTGGGACATTGAACACGTAGGTTCCGGATATATATTACGAGGCGTAACTATAATAGAAACTAATTATTCTCCCAACTGAGCCGGCAGTAAGTTGAATGGATACATCTTTTCAGCTTGACTTTAACTTGACGCCGCAACACGGGAAAAGGTGATGAGAAAATTTTGTTAGGACACAGAAAAGTAGTCATACACACTCACACACATTCCCACAGCCGAGTCCTGCATTCCTTGGCTTGGGTTAGCGATGGATTGGAGTGAAGGAGGGCGACTACATATGGTATGCAAGGAATTTGCAAGTCACGTTGGATGCATTACTAATGATGAAGGATCATCGCAATACTGTAGATAACGTACCTAACATAGGAGGAAACTGACCGCACGCGCAATATCACCGTGCCATCTGTGATTGAGTGCATAGTAATATCCGTAGTACCATCGTTTCTCGTAATGCAACATCTTGCCATGTATTTTTGACAACTGGCCGTTGTATTAAGACTGAACACGGTGTCACTTCTACACTAATTGTTCTCATGGTGATGGATTTGGACATCATGACCTAGCTAGCTGAGGTTGCACCAGTACGCCACCAGCATCAATCAACATGAGATTGCTCCGAGGAGCGGAACAAACAAGTTCACAACAAACATCACTTATATGCCGTATGCACATACGACCAACTATACAGTCCTAAGGAGGCACTCTAGAACCGTTATCGGACGCCTCGCCCTGCGAGCTCCGTGAGGCGGCTGCATACGCGTACCGGTAATTAAGATGCAGATGCAGATGCAGGCCAACAGACCAGACCAGGTCAGGTCAATGGAAAACTTGAATCTTTGGAGCTACTGGGACATCAAGCTGGCATGGTTCGACAAGGTATGATGAGTAGGGTGGCGAGGCTCATTGTATTCCAGGACGCCTGCAGCCAATTGGCCTCAAGATACTGCGTAGTTCATCGACCAACCCCTACCACAAAGTAAGACATACATAATAAAGCATATATACGAGAGTGAATATATAACCTACACAATAGTGTACAAGCTCGGGTTGTTTTTCTATTCACGTTCGACGCGGTGGCGATCCCTTCGTATAATCTCTTATAAAACAGGTTTCGAGTACAAAAGTAGCCCTTCCTCTCTACACTAGCGTAGCTGAAAAGGGAATTGAGTTTATTGATGATGCAGAATGACAGGCGATGAATGGATGGAGTGGATGAGATAGGGCACCCCCTGTCTGCCCCTGCAAGCCGACAGTTCCTCGGGGGTGTGCCTGGATATCGCCTAGGTAGGTAGGGAACTAGGATTGAAGCCAGAAGAAATAAAAAAGAAGCAGAATACCTACGAAGTAAGGGTACACCGCACAGAACCGCACTAAAGAATTACACTAACGGGCCACACATCTTTCTGCAGGGATTATTTGGTCTTCTAATTGTTCCAGAAAACTTCTATCGGGGTCCGATATGTACTCTATATGTATGGCGTGTTGTGTGCTGTGGCCAGTTTCTTTTTGGACAACTACCTATCTACAGTACAAGTTTACACCAGCGTAGACTACCGGTAGATCGCAGCAAATGGGGATAATTACTATGATTGATTTATTCATGTGTAAATAGAAATACGCCGAATTTCAATGTGTGCGTAACTAACTAAAAGGAATCTCAAGAAATGTCAAGGTGTCACAGCTACCTACGAAGTAAGTACCTAGTTACTCATAAACATCACCAACCATATCTAGGTATGTTGCCAATATTGATGCTGTTATTGTACGCGCGCATGCACCAATGCTGTGCAAGCCCGCTAACCAGGTCTATCCAGGTCTTGAGCAAATTGATATATAATCATAAAAATAATAGACGCTGTACATGTAAGATGCGAGTGAGAAAAGCCCCCGCGTTGTTCCGCTTTTCTTTTCCTGTCTCTTTGTCGTGTGCTCTTTGATTAGGTAAGAACCAGGACGACATTTTGGACAACGTGATGATCTATCGTCCGGCTTGGGGGTCCACAACATTTGCTTCAGACCAATTCATGTCAGACTAGGTGAACCTAGACAGCGATCCCCTATACGTGCAGATGTATTGTGTAGCGTAGTCCTACATCCTGTTTCTGTATTCTTGTAACAGATATCCTTGCCATACCGTAGGGAGGAAGGTAGTGTACATGTACCTATGCTCTCATTTTGATTATCTCCAGCGAAGGTAGTATACATAACGCAATGTATGTAAGATGCAGTTGGAGGATGCGATAGGAAAAGAAGACACGGACTGAATGTAGTGTACGAAGGTAAGCCAAGGGCTGCAGACAGAGAACCCCTTGACACGACCTATTAACGCGTCCCTTCAAGTCGTTGCCGCCAAAACTTGCCCTGAAAAGAGACACATTATTCGGCAAGGCCACAGACATGTGTGGTGGGTTTATTTTATTTAATATTCGCCGTCCAAGGACCTGCTGCATGCAGTAAATCAACCTGTATGTATTACCACGCTGCGGTAAAAGTTATATAGACGGAACAAGTAGGTAGTCTCCACCTTCCCCTGAACAATACCTACCTCCCTCCTACACTGGCGTCCTTCTCCGAGTGTTGTAGACAAAGACGAGGCAAGGCAAGGCAAGGCAATGCCGGGCTCAGTAGAAACAATCTGTTACAGCATGGTAGGACAACACGTCATGAAGCGTATCCACTGATATTTACTTGGTGTGCCCAGGGTTATGTGGATGGCTCTGCAACAGAACCCCATACCTCTAACCCTGCTAGTGATGTAGTGTCATGTTTTTGACAACCACCATTACTGGCTTGGATCGTGGAATTTCGGTATGAGAGTCCTGCTGTAGATGTTGCGGCAGATACCAGTATGTAAGTGTTCTTGTGTGTACTGAAGTGCCTACCGCCTACTACTACATGTACATGTAGTATGGTAGCGCACCTATGTACTATGTAGGTAGTGGGTGCTGAATAAAAAAAGAAGACGAGCAGAAGACTAACCTGACTTGGAAAGCCACTCGTCCTCTTTCCACCCACCAAACCCGCAACGCTTGACCTTCTTAAATAGATGCCCTTTAATTCATAAATGCTTGTGTATACCTCATTCAGTCGGTTGGTAGGTAGTGAAAAGTGTCAGGTAGGTACATAAGTATATACCTAATTAGGTACCTTAGGTAGGTAGTACTAGGTAAGTACTAGGTAGGCAGATATACCGGGCAACTACTTACCCTAGGTACCTACATCTACATATGGATGTAGGTACCTACTGTGCCTAGGCCAAGGTACGCCAACCAGATCCAGACCAGACCTGGTTATGTGCACTAATTACAGTGGTGTAGTGCCCGTCGCCTGGTACCTGGTGCTTATCCCCCCCCAAAACTAATCCCTTTTCAATTCTCTAATACACGCCTGTACCTCAGATTTACAATCGGCCCTGGCAACACTTTCACTCCTCTCGCCCTCTCATCTTTTCATCCTCGCTCCATCCATCATCCTCACCCCTCTGTCTTTACTGTTTATGGCCAAGTGTCTCCGACCCTCTCTCGCTCTCACTTTCTCGCCAATCTTTACCACACCCCGCCCCTCCATTGTACTGTGCAAACTGTAGGTACCGTAGTGTACTCTTGGTAATACACATAAGTAGACAGACCGACAGATCTGAAGACAAGACAAGACAAGACCAGACCAGACCAGACAGCCAGACAGACGGCTAGTTCCATACCCCAAGCCTTCTGCTGACTGGCACCGCATAAATTGTTGTTATTTTTCGATCCTTATTACTCGATCACGGCTTCACACCCTCTGTCTGCGCTACCTCCCATTCGCACAAACGCCTCGACAGTACATCCGAGGTAATCTCACATTGAAATTATTCTCACCCGCCGAGTTGCAGGCAGACCAGCCCAGCGATCCTTCCCGCGCCGCCTTCTTGCCTCGCCGTCAGCCTGTCTTACTTATATCACTGCTACACAGCCAGACAGATAGCTAACCGCCGACTGCCATCCACCACTGCTTCTGAGCCCCGGTTCCTTGCTACCTGCTTCTTTGAAGGACATCCACTCTTCCAGCACTATCCCCAGGCTGCCCGCGCTTCCTCGCTTGGCTTACCTAACGTAGCATTCCTTCCGCGCCCCAAAAGACGGCGAAATGAGCCAATATTAACCTCGTATCGCCAACGCTTTCTTCTTGCAAAGGTATCAAATAAATTATTACAACATTCTGTGTCGACTGTGAGCTGCGACACTCGCCGTATCTGTCTTCGCTGCTCCCCTACATACTACGCCAACTGCGCGTGCTGTCGTAGTTCTGCGACTGTTGTCGCTCGACTCGCTTGAACTTCACTTGGCACAACTCCAGCCCCTCTCGCTCCCACTCCCGGGCCCCATATTGCGCCGCGCATAGCTTATCAGCAATCTGAAGTCATCACTTCGCTGCAGCTCAACGGCACTGTTTCGCATTATTTATCGCTTCCACTATGGCTTCCGAAAAGCCGTCCGTTCTAATAATCGGCGGTCTGGGTTACATTGGGCGGTTCCTGGCTAAACATGTTCATGACAACAACCTAGCGTCTGAGTTGCGACTGGTTGACAAAGTGCTCCCTCAGCTAGCATGGTTAGCCCCCGAATTTGAGACGGCGTGCTCAGCGGCAAATTTCGTGCAAGCTGATGCCAGCAGAGAACGTAAGTTGCCCATAAAAACCTAGCTCCTCTGGTAGGCCACCTGTAGGTACAGAGAGTTACTTACTAACTGATGTTCTTGGCTATTGTGCAGAAGCCCTCGCCCGCATATTCGACAGACCCGACGGAAAGCAATGGGATTACGTTTTCAACTGTGGCGGCGAGACGAGGTATTCTCAAGAGGATGAGGTCTATAAAGTCCGGTCCTTGGGCTTGGCGCTAGCAGTTGGCAAAGAGGCGGCGAAACGAGGCGTAAAGTGCTTCGTAGAGTTAAGTACGGGCATGGTTTACAAGCCAAATTCGTCACCCAGCAAAGAAGGCGATAAGCTTAAGCCGTGGAGCAAGATCGCTACCTACAAAGCTCAAGCTGAGCAAGAATTGGCTAAGATTGAGGGGTAAGTACTAATTTTTGGAGAACGATAATGCTAGGTAAGAGTGCACTGACAGACGGACTGATGGCTTGATGATACAGGCTGAATCTTGTTATTGTACGATTACCCCACGTATACGGCCCCTATGCGTCGCAATGGGTTGCGACCGCCCTCTGCTTAGCCCGCGTATATCAGGCCCTCGAAGAAGAGATGAAATACTTGTGGACAAAAGATTTGCGTACCAACACGGTCCATATCGACGATGTCACGCGAGCGCTGTGGTCTGTGGTTTCATGGTACGACTCTGGTAAACCCAACTGGGACGCCAAAACGATGGGCAATATCCCGATCTTCAACGTGGTTGACAAAGGGGTCACGACGCAGGGCAAAGTAGCCGGCATTGTGGATGAGATATTTGGTATCAAGGGAGAATTCCAAGGCCAACTTTTGAGTAACTTTGCGCGTCTGAACATGGACAGCGTGGTGGACGATATCAACGACGATGTGCTTGGTCCTTGGGCAGATCTTCTTGCCGAAGCCGGAATCACGAGACCGGGCCCGTTAACTCCCTTTATGGAAAAGGAGCTCCTGAAGGACACGGATCTCAGTATGGATGGTAGTCGACTCGAGACAGTTGTCGGGTTCCAGTACCAGAAGCCTGTTCTCACCAAGGATCTTGTACTGGAAGTCATTGACAGTTACAAGAGGATGAAATGGTGGCCGTAAACTGGACACAGGGTTGCAGAGTTATGTTGACGACAACGACAGTTCTGCTCTTACACCGCGACTTCAGGTACTCCTGATGAGAGGATCTAGACACGCCCTCCGGGGCTGCGACGAAGTATATTCAACAAACGACTCGACGACTGGACGGCCTACGTTTCCATATCGGATAGACTTTGGCGGCTCCTTACTCTTTTTCATGGTTTACATCTTCCCTTGTCATGCCCTGTTTTAAATGGACAGGGGTTTGTGCAGAAAATGGCGACAGTGTATGAATAGGATATCCTTTCTTTTTGTTTTCCGATCCCATCCTCCCCAACAGATCACGCCTCTACACTTACACACATGCATGCTCTTTTCGTCGCAGGCCTAGTCTAGCAGGCGTTTACCAGGGGGCGGTCTAACGCAAGTGTCTACACTGGACATAAGGGAGTCTATCGGATTTGCTTTTTTCCCCCACATTTTGCCTGGGGTTTGATGAGCACAGTTCTTAGAACTGAATGGTATTCTTTTTTCTTGCTTGGCATAATCCGTGTATGCCCTCATTCTAACTACCTACCTACCTACCTACCTACACCCACCTTAATGGCCTGGTCCCATGAGGTTTTGTTCCAGCCAATCTTAACTAATACCAAAACTCCTCGTTTACGCTCTGCTAGCCGTGATTGAAACTCCAGTAGCCCGGTCCCGTATCGTGTACTCTTGATTTGGCGTTACGCAGCATATCATTCTCAAAGTGATTGAAGGAAGGTAGGTATTGCTCACTTTACAATTCCCTCACATCTTGAACTGCTTAGTCATATCATAATTCACCCAGGTGGGGGAGGCGCATAGTAGATTCCTCGGCTGCACAATCGACACCTGCCTCTGCCTGCCCATAACTGCAGGACATACAGTAGGTACTGTACAGTACCTTCACGCCTACCTATATATAGAACAGTTGGCTGATAATGTCCAGCTCGGAAGAGTCGATTTTTAACCTAGGTAGCGGATATAGGCTACCGGGCGGTAGTGGGTACCTACATTATGATTTCATCATAGATAGGTACTCCGTACTCTTTCCCTTAGGTACTTAGATACTTAGGTACTTAGGTCAGCTCAACCCCGCAATGGGCCCAGCTTCTTGCTTGCTTGTGACGGTGACGCACAGCACAGGGCTGTATGGTACTGGTGCCTGATCTGATCTTCACGAGACAGACAGGATAGACCTCGGCCGTTTACCTAAGCTAACTCACCCTACCCAAGCGAGAAGAGAAGGTAGCTACAGTTCGACTTATCTAACACTCGTTGTTTTAGCTTGTGATCAATTGGCTGCTCTGCCCTCAGACTACCTGCCTAGGTACTATCTGTTTCTTATTTGGTCCGCCAGTTTAAGAGGACTGTATATAGCAGGTCTGTCTGTCTGTCTGTCTGTCTGTCCGTCCGCCTATCTGTCTCTCTGTCTGTATTTTCGCTCTGGTCTATATACATTGCCCGCCTACATTGATTAGGAGTAGGTCATCTTCTTTCCCGGCACCCACCCCGCCTCAAGTACATTCCCTCTTGTCGAAAAGCACGTGTGGTTTTTTTCATACACGTGCGAGAAATATCGGTCCGGGACTCGACTTGTCTCAGATCTCAGACCTCAGCTCTCGTTTACCATTAGTCTATCTATTGACAGTAGGGCAGAGAGAAAATCAACGCAATGGCGGCCCCGGCTTCGAAGACTGTCACCAACTTAAATGGCACATGGGTTTTGGTGAGTTTGTTCCGGCCGTGTGAAGTGCCGTCTCTATTACTACCCGAGCTTGCTTTTCGTGCAAAGACTGGGTTCGCGATATAATTTCTTAGCTTATCCATTTATTTATATGCCTATGTGTCCATCTTCTCAGTGAGCCCAACACATCGCGCACATCGATATCGCTCCATGAACATGCTTTGTCCGCGCCATTTCCCCCCTTTGTGTCCGACACACACACAACCCTCCGCTGCCGCATTCCATTGCGAAAGCGATTACGCTTTTACAGACAACTCCTTCGGCTCTCGTACCTACCTATCTATACCCCGAATTAACCAATTAGCTCTCTCTTGTCGTCCCCCCTTCCCTTTGACGGATCGAAGTTCAATCAACGCAAACTCCAAAGCTAACTCCACTATTAACAGAACAAAACCCTCTCAGACCCAACAGACCCAGCCCTGTCCCTCCAAGGCGTAGGCTGGCTACTCCGCAAAGGCATCAGCGCAGCAACAGTGACAATAGTCGTAAAACAATATCCTGATCCAGAGACCAGCACAACGACCATCGATATCGATCAATCAGCCTCAGGTGTAACATCCACTAAAGAGCTGCGCCGACTAGACTGGAACTCGCGCGAGCACAAAGATTTCCTCTTCGGACGCGTGCACGGACGATCGAAGTATATCACTCTCTCCGAGCTAAAAGCGCTCATCAGTCCCGAGGGAGAAGCGCGCAAGGAGAAATGGGTTGAGAATGACTTTCTCGCGGAGGATTGGCTGGAAACTGACGGAGAAGAAGGGAAACTTGTGTTGAGCCATGTAGTTGCCGATGCCGGCTGGTTCGCGACGCAAGTTTGGGGGTTTCAGGATGTGGGAGGCGAGAGACGGTATGTGAGGAACGTGGTGGTTGCCAAGGAGGATACGTTTGTGAACTTTAAGATGATATATGATTTTGTTTCGGAGTAGGTAAAGGGGAAGGTGAGAGTATGTATAGAAAGAAACATGAGAGGAGAGAGGTAGAAAGGAGAGAGCTGGAGGATCGAATTGATGGGACACATATCAACGTGTAAACGGGTGGAGTTGGTCGACGCGTAATAAAGCAGGTATATATACGCTCTGGAGAGACAGAGAGAAGGGCAGATAGATAGACAGGCTGATAGGATGAGGCGGTCCAGATGGTATATAATACAAAAAGGGGCATCATCAGATGATATAGCGCAGAAATGAAATAAACGATTTGTGTAATTTAGATATGGTTATTTCTCAATACGAATCGGTTATAGTATCCAAATCAAGCACGACAACACATATCATCGTCTTTCCTAGTATTGAAGACTAGTTGTTCTTGTGATTTAACCCCGTGTTCTATCCTTTTGGCGTGAATTCATTAGTCTCCATAGTGGGAATGTTGAAACCCCAGCTCTAGCTAGCTAAAATGCACATTCATTAATATACGCCCAAGCCCAACCAGCAGATCCTTTTCATATGCTCTATTTGTAAAAGCAGCAGCCTTCAAGGTCCCTTCCAATAAACGCCATTCTTGTAGTTGAAGACAATTATCACTAGGTTCTGTGCCCGCTTTCTTGTTTGTTTGATGCTGAGAGCGGCCAAGTCAGAACCTACCTACCTCCCTGGGTAAATACGCAATTTCACCCTCTACTCACCGATTATCGCAAAATGGGTGCAATAACACACTCAGGTATCAATGGCGGAAACAGACGGAACCCCCCGCACAAATCCATCCCGGATTACGCAGGTCTTCTCTTCACAAACTCCTCAAGATCCGACTTCGTCGCGACGCCGAGGACAAATCTCCTATCCTCATCCGTGACGACAGCAAACTCCTGCTTCTGGTCCTGTGAGTCTCCGACGCCCTCGAAGAAGGCTTCAAGCTGCTCCAGCGGGGTCTCGAGTGTGATGACAGTGTACCGTCTTCCCTTGCGCTGGAAGCGCACCATTGCGCGCGACAATGGGTCTCCAGGCTTGACGGCGCCCGAATCGAGCTGTGCTTGCAACGACGGGATCGAGATGTACCCCAGCAGACCGCGCGTCTCCGAGTCGACGATGGTGAGATGCGTGTATTCGCGCTCGAAGGCCGAGACGAGGGCTAGGGAGATGGGGTCGTTGGGATTTAGGGAGAGTGCGGCTGGGGGTTCGAGGTCTTGGACCGTGGCCTGGCGATTACATACATGTACTGTTAGCTCTGTTGGCTCGCGCTATGGGAACTAGTCTCGAAGGGAATTGCCATAAATAGATAGGCAAGGTAGGAGGCGCTTGAGAGTTGTGAAAGACAATGGAGACGAGGGTTTGCTTACCCCACGATAGCGCGATGACCATTTCGAAATAAAGGGCTCGCTCTGTAGCGATGAGGGTCCAATGTGTGGTTTCTGCATTGCGTGGGCCATGGCTGTGTTATTCTCCGGCGTCAATGTCGGACGAGCTTGGCTTGGTATGGCTTGGTCGGGCGTTGGTCGGAATAGTTCAGTCTCAGTCGTACAAACGGGCTCGAACTGATACCTAGCCTAGATCCAAGTGTCTTATCAAAACTGGCGCTAGATGGAGTGGCAGTAGGAGCTTGTTTTCCTATTCACAACTTCCTTTCCCCCCTATGTTTTCGACCAATGGCTCTCTGCAGTGGATCTATAGAGTCGTCCTGTGGATTTCTGTGGTTTGGTGGCCTGTTGAGGCTGACTTGTCTGGTTCCTGCGAGGTGGAATGAAAGATATCTTGATGGAGGTGGGGCGAGTGAACTTTCTTGCCGCATGAAGCCACCGGCGGCTCAAAGCGGGGGTACCTTGTGCAGTTACTCGGTACAATAGTGTACCTACACCTGGGCATACATAGTAGTACATAAGCATCATGAGTTGGCTGTACATAATCAGAGAGACAAGAGTATCGAAATGTATCGTAATCAATCCCCGTGACGCTAGAATATAACTCGTAGACATAGATTTTCAAATGTGTAAAATAACGCAGTCTAATCCAGGGACGATTGCACCTGTGGATTATATATCTCGACCATATGATGCAAGACTTCTGAAATCCTGTCATATTTATGGAACTATGTAAGAAGTCCATGGCCCAATCAGAAGATGAGAAATGCGAAGTAGCCATTCCCAGGCCTCTGAGACGCAGTGGAGGGCGGTGGAGTCACTGGGGAACTGAAGCTACTACATACACTACATGCCTGTACATGGATATGGATATATTACTTTAGGGTAGCTTAAGTAGGTAGGTATGTGTCTGTTATGTGCTAGCAAGCTCTTCCCGCTGACAAGCTCCATCTGTAGCTGCCCCACCAACGTCACTCTTGTATTTACTTACCTACCTACCTACCTACGAAGTACCGAGTGTAAGCCCTCATGTCCCATGTCCAGGTCGTGATAATGAAGCTTTTTATGTAAGAAATGCCATGCTCGAACACCCGTTAAGCTCGAGGTTGGCCATAGCTAATAAGATCTCTAATATAAAAATAACGAATGAAACGAACTGTTTAGAAGCCTCCCAATCTTGTAACGAAAAGGAGGTGATTAGGACCTCTTTTGCTAGTTGAGTCACTGTACAGAAACGGTACCTCATTCTTCGAGATGCAGGAGCCGGTAAATCCGGGAGCATCGCTGGATGGAGGCACTGCTACTACGCATTTGCCTAGCTACTCCCCCCGACTCGTCACTAGCCAACCGAAACACCCCGATCTGGTAGGGTAGCAGCAGAACAGCAGTCAAAGGTTTCTTTTACCGATAGATAATCCCTGGTCTGGACAGCATGACCCGTTTATCTACCCAAGTAACCAGTAATCTAGATATTTTACCTCTCTTCTTTTTACTCTTCTGACTCTCGACCTTTTTCTTTGCCATAATCAATACACTCATCTGTTCATCCTACTCGGGCTTCAAGTCCTCAGACGTGGATTGATATCGGAAGAAGTCCGTCGTCACGATAATCGTACAACACCTTGGTACGCAAAACCTCACTCAATTCCTTATCTCCGTCTTATTTACGACGGGTCAATTGAATGATGATATCCATCGGGAAATGAGATATTGCGGCTCACACATATGCGAACATGCTAACACATCTGGCTAGACAGACGAAGTGGTTGGCAAGATGGCCCCCCTTTTCCCAACACTGCATGCGCTTCAGCAGACTTTCGGGTCCGGACCGCTTGCTCTCCCCAGCCACGGCGAAGTTCCATCGCCAAGCAAAGCGACATCCCGTCAGGCCCGCTCTGAGCTCTACAGCGCCGCTTTCTCCGTCGTCGACGACTCGAAGAAGAAGCTGAGCACCGAGGCCCAGAAGGAGTTCGACAAGGCTAAGAAGGGCCAAATCGAGCTATACTCGCCCGGTTTCTATGCCGCTGCTACATTCGGCGGTCTCCTTGCTTGTGTAAGTAGCTTATCCGTGGTCGACTCAGCTAAAAGACGGACTATATAAATCCTTCAAACTTTCCTAGTTGTTGCTAATCGACCTTGCCCTCTCAGGGCCTCACACATACTGCCGTTACCCCTCTTGATCTTGTCAAATGCCGTCGCCAGGTCGATGCGAAGCTGTACAAGGGTAATTTCCAGGCATGGGGCCTAATCTACCGATCGGAAGGCCTTAGGGGCATATTCACTGGCTGGGGGCCTACGCTCGCCGGTTACTCGGCACAAGGAGCGTTCAAAGTGAGATCACCTCCAAAATCTTACACAAAACTATGAAGAAACTGGCATAGCTAATGTGTTCTACAGTACGGCTGGTACGAGTACTTCAAGAAAACATATTCAGACCTTGCAGGCCCGGAGAACGCTTACAAGTATAAAACGCTTCTCTATCTATCAGCTTCTGCCTCGGCTGAGTTCTTGGCCGATATTGCGCTGTGCCCCTTTGAAGCTGTCAAGGTCCGCATGCAAACCTCGATCCCGTCGCCATACACTGGGATGGTGGATGGCCTGCGCAAGATAAGCGCGTCAGAAGGTATCGGCGGTCTGTATAAAGGCCTTTATCCCCTCTGGGGACGACAAATTCCGTATACAATGATGAAATTCGCTTCCTTCGAAACCATCGTCGAGATGATATACGACCGCATGCCCGGTAAGAAGAGCGACTACGGAAAGGGCACCCAGACCGCTGTATCCTTCGTTGGCGGCTATATCGCCGGTATCCTGTGCGCCGTCGTCTCGCATCCGGCAGATGTGCTCGTCAGCAAGTTGAACGCAAACCGCCAGCCCGGCGAAGCCTTTGGTGCCGCCGTGGCCCGGAATTATCGCGATACCGGGTTCATGGGGCTCTGGAACGGATTGCCTGTGAGAATTGTCATGATTGGTACATTGACCGGCTTGCAGTGGATGATCTACGTAAGTAATGCCTGAATTCTTCTTCTCCTTCTCTATTTTTTGTTTATGTGTGTGTGCGTGGCGTGGAAAGATTTACTGACACAGAGATATCTAGGACTCGTTTAAAATCTTTATGGGCTTCCCGACTACGGGTGGAGCGGCGCCGCCTGAGCAACAGAAGTGAACATAGAGATAGTTAATTCGAGGGGGCTTATACGACGTATGGAGTGGTTTAGTTGTGTTGTCCGTTGCCGCTCAATGGAAGTAAGCGTTGGCCTCCCCTGAGCTGGAAGAGTGAGTCTGCTCCGGCTAGGTTTCCCTATCCTCCTTTTGTATATCTAGGAATGCTTCCTTATCCCTTTTCTGTCTGGATTATGTGAGTTGTTGTTGTCGTGCGAATACGAACCGAACTTCAACATCTACCTCCCTACTCTAGTTTGTGACAAGTCGAGTCTATTGGTCATGAGTTTTGTATGTTTCGGTTGCTGGGATGGAATGTCCTTAAAGGTATTGTAAGCACGTCCCTACTGGTGTATAATACAAAATCTCTCTATTGCGTATGTCATTCAGATGACATAAATGACCGTGTTTCTCATTATTAGATTGAGCCTCCTCGTACAGATTTTCTTTCTCATGAACTTCCACTAGATTGAAGAAAAGACGATGAAGCTCCTACTTACCTATTACTATCAATTTCCTACCACCCTCAAAACCTTCTCTACGTATACCTAGGTCACGTGTTTCAGCGAGTTAAGAATTACGATGGGGCAGTCCCAATTGCTAGACATCAACTTGGTGTGATACAAAACGGTGCAATATGCAGCTCCTACAGGCGGGTGGTTGGCTGGAAGGAAGCAGGATGAGAAGACGGAAATTCCCGTGTTAGGAGCCTAGTTTATCACAGCAGTAGCAACAACGTAGCGAACCTGTCAGAATGTGCTATTGGATAGAGGTTTGGGGGCTGAATGTGAGCTCCCCCCCATCTCTATTTTGCTCTGTGTCTCTGTTCTTTGCCCGGGACTGAGGAAGATAACAAGTAGGTAGAGTGTTTGTTTGCGTGTATGTCCTTCTCCGTGTCTCGCAAACGACAATCAATCAAAGGTAAGCCAAGGAATCGATGATTCTTATTGCGGTACTCGTCTTCATCGATGATTTGGTAGGTACATTATCCAAGCTCATCTCAGGCGCACAGGTAAGCCAAGGGCAAAAAATGCTCTTCTACAACATCGTACGTAGCACTGCTATCGCCGCTCGTACGCATATGTAGCACCATCTCGCTCATTGGCCGCTGACGGCCAAGCAAGCTTCCTTTCCACGCTGGTAGGTCACCGTAGGTACATACAGTTGCCCAGTGTAACCCCCCTCCAGATCCCTATATTTCGTCATGGCACATCAGCCATGTGGTCAGAATGGTCTTGGCTGGGATGTTAATGGTTGCTTGGTTTTCTCGTTGCCTACAGTAGCACACCACACCACGCCACGCCACACTACGTCCTACCTCCATGGGGAGTAGGTACCGGTGTGATGTGTACTGGTATGTCCGGGCTGCAAATGCAAGACGGCGCTTTCTCGGCTCCGCTAGTCCTCCTGTCCTGTCCCGTGTAAATTGACTCGCGCGGCAATTGCTCGTCTGGGCCATCTTGGCTATTGCTTGATTTATTTCTACAAGTACGTAGTAAGATTCTTGGGAGCTTCTTTGGCTTTCTTTGCGGGGAGGGGGAAGTTGGGGGTTACTTTGGGTTGTTCCGTCGACGCCACATTTCCCCCCCCGCCTTTGTGAGGTTCCCGTGGTAAGCAGACGAGCGAGCTGAAATGGATGTGGGCAAGGTTTCGTTGAGCTAACGTGCCTACATATGGTACTGCTACCTAAGATACCTACCGGTATCTAACTTCATGTTCGTGCTCACTTACTAGGCACAGCATGCGTATAGTGTATCAAGTCTGTAATAGGTAGGTTTATTCTAAGTGTCATGATGTAGGCATTGTACCACACCATTAGCTGAGGCCCTCTTGTCGTCGAGGCTGCACTGCAGGGCTGAAAAACATGAGTGAGAGCTGTGTGCCGTCTTACTGCATTCCAGCCGTCGTGACAGCGGAGGCGATCACTACTATCACCCTATCATCTCTTATGGATGTATGCATTGGAAGGGGGAGAGACATCCTGCGCACACGGGCGTCGCCGAATCATGCGACTAATTGGGTTTTACTTATCTGCGCCCCATGGGTAAGTGATGTAGGTAGGTTGGGCAATACCAGGCTCGCCAGGCAGGTAGGTAGTAGAAGGATACCATAGACATGACTACTCTCCAACTGACCAGGCTGTAGATTACAATAAACAGCGAAATCTATCTAAACCCTAATATCTAGAGATGGTTAATGCATACATGGCAAACTCCGCACCCCATGTGTGAGCAGCTGTTGGGGACCTTTGACTCCCTCTGCCTAGGAGACAAGGGAGCCCCCGGCGTTTGTGTGGAGGCGGGGGCAGCCCCTCCTCCTGTGGATGGGCGACTTTCCTCCTTGAGTCCTCCATTACCTACCGAGCCGGGGACACTTGTGCATAGGTATGGTAGGTATGCTGAAAGAAATAGGTATAATAAACCGAGGACTGGTGGCTAGTAACGGTATGTCCCATACATAGTAATGCCAGTTAGTCAATGCGGTTACTGTTCGAGGGCCTGCACGGATCAACCTGGGGGTGTGCAAGGATATTCCTAGGCGGATCGATAATGTCACGGATGCAACAGATTTGGAGTCGGAAATGTCGCACACTATGTATTTCAATACGATACAGCATGTTACTGTAGACATTTGGTCTGAGGCATTAGTGTAGAGGCGTTGGAGATGTGATCTGCAGATAATTAGCCATCAATTCAAGAAAACTGATTGACGTTTCTTCACGGTCACACGTTTCCCGTCTGACGTTGTTAGCCTGTTGGTTACGTAATACCATGAAGCCCTTCGCTTTCACCCTTGATGTTCGAAATACACTTGGCAGAAACGACTGTGTAAATGTGTAGTTTTCACTTATATAGATTCGCGTATTCTACATAGATTACTGGTAATGAGGTGTAGTCGGAGTTGTTAATAGTGCTCTGGCGGTGTTTTGGAAGGGTTTCGGTATCGTACCTGTAATGCCGGTGAGCGATGCCGAGCCTCACGACACGATAATGGCGACGCGCATATGCCAGCGTGTAGCCGCAGGACGAACCGTAAATGGCAATGTTCTGGTAGAGGTCGGTATCCGTAGTGTTGGGACTAGTCGTTCCGTTGGATTGCTAGTGGTGTAGTCAGCTACTGGACTGTATGGAGATCTGACCGGGTGATCAAAGCATGGCAAGTGGATCAGGACCGGAGCCTGGCGGTCAGACGAAGAACACCACCGACACCATGTCCTCCAATAGACATACTGGTGCAATAATAGTAGACCGTTGATATGGTACCGCCGGAAGCAGGTGGGCATTACTCGTCATCCCAGTGGCATCCCGCCGCTGTCAACCCACTACGTTGAATAGGTGTGGATACATGTACTACCGTAGTTACACCTCGGATGGCAGAGTCCCGAGCAGGAATTCATTACCCGGCTATGCCTTGATGACTTTAGCTTGTTAACTGCACGAGTTTGCGGTTTAGAAGCTTTCGATGATCGAGTGCTGCGTAGGGACTCTGGAGAAAGCCGGGAAGGGTTGGGGGCGAACAGGGGGATGTATGGCCTCGCACCTTATTTCGTACGAAGAGGTCAGCATCGTCGTTTAGCGGACAAGACTTCCGTTTTTAGGCAATCTGCCCCTCAGATGGCAAACAGGCATGCTTGTAAGTCACACCGGGTGCCATAGACCTGGGAAGCCGTCTGCATATTAGTGTCTCTAGAAGAAGTAGGCATCCTCCATTATGTTAACCATTAACTGCTAGTGTAGATCAGAGAGGAGAAAACACCGTGGCCAAGAAACAACCTAATTGTTAAGAAGTAGTGCAATCCAGAAGGAGTTATACTTATACTTACGCTTAAAGGTTAAATGACTCTCTACCTTGGCTGTTGATGAAGGCCAAGATGACAAGCCAACGGCCAAGGTTCGGAGGCGCAGGGGAAATGAAAGAGGCCAGTGCTGTTACATGGACACATCCGAGAGTAACGCAAGCCAGCGCCTAGTTGTATTCGTTCAACTCTCCAACAAGATAGTACATATAGTAGTAGCAGTAGCAGTACTATGTGAGTGGTGCTTCGGTCGGCGAGAACAAGAACAATACTGACTGTTGAGAACCTCCTAACATCGACAGTAAGTGAGACACTTGAGGCAGCGATTTGTGGCGCACTAGCCACTACCTAATGCGCCTAGTCGCTGGGATATGTGAGCTAGCAAGAGCCTGCCTGCTCTAAGTAGCACTTGTTGGAATCTTGTCAGGAGAAGCGGCCAATGGCCTTGTCGGTTCCGTCTACCCCATCTTTTACCTGCTTTAGTGTGTAAGTATGTACGGGTACATGAAGTTGACTCCAGGTCTGCTACCTAGGTAGGTAGGTGTAGGTATGCTAGGCATGTCCAGGCACCACCCTGCGCATCGACGCCTGTAGCCGCCTCAATGCATGGAAGCCAACTGGCAGGCTCCTTGCCGTACAGGCGCATATACCTATACGGTACATAGGCACCGCACCTCCTGTAAGGTAGGTAGCGAGTACAATAGCTAACTCAGGTAGGTACCTATGTAGGTACCTAAGATACAAGAAATAGACAAGGCAAGGCAAGATAGGTAGGCGCCTAGGCATCATGCATGTAGGTTAGCCACCTGCGATGCGTTGCATGTGGTGTTTCCCAATCGTGAATGGGTGTGGAATACGAAAAGAGTCTGACTGGTGCTCAGAGGTACTGTCTAGGTACACTACAGTACACTCCCAATATACTGCATAGGTACTTATACCTACTTACCTGTATGTAACCACAACCGCTGAGCTGCTATTACCTCATGGCACTTGCCCGCTCACTGTACACCGGAGCTACTTGTTGGCCCAGCTTCGTGGTCGGTCCAGTAAAACTTCCCGCCTTGTAGTGTTCCTTCTAGCGTGTTAGTGTACCTACAGTACTATGTACAGTGCCTGTCGCATCTCGAGATCCCGTAAGTATCCGGTACAGGCGACCTACCTGTTCTGGAGCTGCGGGCATGCGAACCGACTGGCCGGCGGCGGGTCTTTTTACGCTACATGACAAGGCCTCGAATCCTTTCAACATCCCTTTACTACGTACTTACCGGCACTATCTACATACGGTGGCAGCACCGCAACGCCGTTACGTCCAACTCCTCCGTCTTCTTAGGTGCTTCTTCGCATCTCTCACGGTCCGGCACCTTTTTTATTTCATTCTACATAATGCAACCTGTCTTATCAAATCACCATTTTTGGCATTTCTAAGCATTGTTTCTGTCATCTCATATCTCTATATCCCCTCTTCAATTGACGACATATAGACTATCATCTGTAAACGCACCGGTGCTTAGCAAACATCTCCACTGCATTACTTACGGATTCCACGCACCCTGACCCCAAGAGCCTCGCCTCGCTCGGTCGCCGATAGAATCCGAGTTGCTCACGCAAATCCTGAAAGGCAGACACGACCAGTAGTCTTCTTTTTTTTTTTTTTCGCATTGTGACGCTTTCGACGGCGCCTCTGGCGTCTATATGCCATATAGCACTCCACATGTCTGGACGACGCCAAGCCAAGAAGAACGAAAAATAGCTCTTCGGATGACGCTCTCGATTGATACCACACGCTTCCGCTGACTGCTAGGCTGTGCGCCTCGACGCTGGCTCTCAAATTCCTTCACCGACAACAATCCCTCCGCCCGACCAGACTGGCATTTTGACCATGGCAAGCTTCCTAACCAAGTGGAAGTCCGGTTCGGCTGTATGTTTCTTGACCTTGGATTTCCTCTCGCGGCATGCTTTCTCGCAACCCGCGCCTGAGATTCTGTGATGGGCTTTTCCTAGCTGCCTAATGCTGACATAATTGTAAAAGTCGTTGGGCTCTTCCGCGAAAGATGGCCTCAAAAAGAAGGAGGAACCGCCGCCCGAATTGACCCCTTTAGAGAAGATGCTCCAGAACGCCGGCGCAATTCGGCCAGATGGAAGCGACAAGTTCTTTGGCATGGAAAATGTAGGTTTCTAGGCAATTAGTACACGTCCACTGCATGCTAATTAAGGACTTTGGCAGTTTGGCAACACATGGTATTTGGCGTCGCTTTCAGCTCCCTGTGATATTACTAATCTTACTTTAGTTATTGCAACTCAATTGTCCAAGCTCTTTTCTACACGACCGCTTTTCGAGAACAAGTATTAAATTTCCCGCCGCTGTCGCCTTTAGATACACCGAATGGTACTCGGCCTAGGGTCAATGTGCAGATAAGAGCACCAAACACGAATAACAACACACAAACAGATGCAAATGGTAAAAAGAACCCGAACGGACGGCCGCAAACTTCCAACGCTCCTCAGCCAGGGCAACCGGTGAGGCCGGAAGATAAACCAGACACTCCTGAATACAAAAAGAAACAAGCTATGTTGAAGGGACCTATCATGGAATTAGCACGCGAGAGTGGCAACCCCTACGGTATGGAGGAATGCACATTTACGGGTTTAAGAGATATCTTTATGGCCTTGGTGGAAAGTGAGACTCGCACAGGAGTGCTCAGCCCGCAACGATTCCTCGAGATCTTCAAGCGCGACAATGAGATGTTCCGAAATTCCATGCACCAGGACGCCCATGAGTTCTATGGTCTGGTTCTTAACGATGTCATCACCAATGTTGAGAGCACCGCGCAGCGCTTGCTGAATTACGAAGCAGAACACACCGCAGATGGGATGACGAATGCTCTCAAAGCAGCGTTAAGTACGGTGACGAGGACAGTAACCAATGGAACAAATTCGCCCGGCACAGGATGGGTACATGACATCTTCGAGGGACTACTAACATCTGAGACAAGATGCCTCACGTGCGAGACAGCTTCTCAGAGGGACGAAACGTTCCTTGACTTGTCGATCGATTTAGAGGAACATACATCAGTGACATCTTGTTTACAAAAGTTCTCGGCTGAAGAGATGCTTTGCGAGAGAAACAAGTTTCATTGTGATCACTGTGGGGGCCTCCAAGAGGCTGAAAAGCGCATGAAGATCAAGCGACTCCCCAAGGTCCTCGCCTTACACCTCAAGCGCTTCAAGTACACAGAAGATTATAGTCGGCTACAAAAATTGTTCCACCGTGTAGTATATCCCTATCAACTGCGCATGTTTAACACGACAGACGACACCGAGGACCCTGATCGGTTATACGAGCTGTATGCTGTTGTAATTCACATTGGTGGTAACGCTTACCATGGACATTATGTATCCGTCATCAAAACCGAAGATCGAGGATGGCTCCTTTTCGATGACGAAATGGTAGAACCGGTCGATAAACATTATGTCCGCAACTTTTTCGGAGATAAGCCAGGCCAGGCCTGTGCTTACGTTCTGTTCTACCAAGAAACCACCTTTGAGAAAGTACGGGCAGAACAAGAGGCGGAGGGCCTAGAAGAAGTAAGGATAGTTAGCGAAAAGGCAGGTGTCGCCCAAGAGAACGAACAAGTAAACGGGACCTCCGACGGACTTCCAAAACAGGCTACCCTCCCTCCTCAGCCTATAGATGACCAAGATGGGCCCGAACCTGCTGCCGAAACAGCAGATCTGACCCGAACCCCATCGGTTAAGGTTCCCATACCGCCATCGAGTACTGATATACCACCAGTCCCTTCAATACCTAGGTCAAATACGGTCAAGTCAACGAAGGAAAGTAAAAAGGAAGCTAAGGCTCAAGAGAAGGCGCGAAAGCAGGCTGAAAAGGACGAATGGAAAACCAAACGGAAACAGCGAGAGGAATCATACTCCCGACTGCGCGAAGCGCGCAAAACAGAAGAAGAGAACCTCAAGAAAGCCTTGGAAGAAAGCAGAAAGTCGGCTGCCGAGGAGCGGGAGAGACACAACGAGGAACATGACAGTGTCCCGGCATTGAACAACGCGGACAGGACCAGCAAGTCGATGGCAAGGAAGAGTTTTGCCTTCTTGAGGCCGAAGAGGGACAGCATGGAGACTTCAGACAGCAGCCAGAACGGCGAGAGCGCGACAGCACAACATGCTGCTGCTCCTGAGAAGCACGACACTTTCAAGCTCCGGAAGAGCTTTTCATTTGGAATCGGACGCAAGAAAAGCATGAAATTCCCCTAGCATACCTAGCTCGACTAATTGAAATTAGCGAGATGCTATTGTTGCGAGACACAAGCATTTTACCAGCTACAATTTTGTTAATCATTGAGCATTTTCGGGAGTTATCGGGGATATTCATCTACCTATCTACCTAGAAGACAAGAGACGATGTGTGTATGTGTGTGAAAGAGACCAGCAGAGTCCTTGGTGCGATTGAATCATAGAGAAGCATTCTGCAAGGAGTTACAACGGCATCGAAGCCGACTTGTACTTATCCAAGACAAATAGTGTTTCTGGATAATGAATGGGCGTGATGATGATTGAAATATTTACCAGTGCCTAGCTCGCTAGCTACCCAGTCATGCATAACGATTGTTTAGAAAGCCTGGATAATGTATAGCTTCGTCTGATCTGATCTGCACTAGTCTGGTCTATTGTAGGATGACCATTACCATGCACTAAGCTAAGCTAAGCTTTCATTGGGACGGTCGGATGTATACTATTAAGAAGGTGGGTGAGTGAATGAATACCTAGAATCGTGCCCAAATACCCCTGATTCAAGTGAAAAGAAGATATCCGTACGTAGGTAAGTGCCCATATCAACTGTGATCATGATCATATTTTCTTCGTATCATACATATATAAACCGCTAGGTTTGAACGATTACTTTGCTTTTTCCTTAATGGAAGTTGCGTTGTCCTGAGATTCTGCCCCTTTTGGATCTCGCCTCCTGGCTTGCGTGAACATATGCGTCTGAGAAATGCGCTCTTCATATTAGAATGGTAATACACGTCTGATATTCTTCTATCTAGCCTGGATCTCCCCCTTCCCCTTTCTTCCTTCTTTGCTCGGAGACCTTGTAGGAGGAAGGGTCTTCACTTTATTGTTTTTGAAAAAAGGCATGTATGTAGTCAATCGTTCATGATGGTTGATTTTATCCGAGAACCAGTTCGTAGATAATTATTAACGTGTTGCATAATATTAGCGGGACTAGAGGGTAGAATATGTTAATAAGCGCATTTTTCGATCTTGAGATTACAGACAGCTCTGATCTCACCCCCGTTTATGGAATAGATTCTATGTTGAGATGGAAAGCCGCTCCTCGGCCTATTTTCCCTACTCCAATTTAAGAAAAGGAAGGGGGAGGCGGGGAGCAGGAGGTGGGCAAGGCAGAGAGAAAGAGAGCGCAACGTACTCCTCATAAGCGTCCGTACACTCGCTAACAGATTGATGGCCTTCACCCTTATGCTCTGGTTATCGGGACCGGCGCCGAAGGCTGGGTCGTAAGTGGCGGAGGAAAAGTTGACTGATAATTGACAAAGAGAAAGTTAGCTGGATAGGCAGATATGGCAGATCGATCGGTCCGCTGGGGCCTGTAGTGGGAAAGCGATTTATGCATTGCGCCAAGGAGAAACGTACTGCGTGCTAGGAAGCGATCCTCGGATAAGATAGCGAGGGCGTTGATGAGGAGGACCGTCACTGCTGAAGTATCAGTGGTTTGTCTGTATGCCTGAGTTCGTTTGCGCGATATGGCGGGAGGGCGAGCGGGCGGGCGCAAGAGAAGGACGGGACGAGCGCACCGTAAATGAGGTTCCCGATGAGCATCATCTTGTCGGCGCGTGGTCTCGCGACATGCGAGGACGAGTCTTTTCCGATGCGGAAGATGCACGGGTTAAGGCGAAGGTGTAGATCGAATATTGTGTTCGTCTTCGTGGGCGGGTGAGAGTACGACGTCGATATCGGATTGCCACCTCACTCTAACTTAAGCCAGGTGTCAACGGGGTGTGGTGAAGTTGATTGCTACAGGTACGAGACAAGGGCAAAGGTACGTACCGGACAGGGTGACGTACATTAGAACTGGGCCAATAAGCTTGGCCGGAGCAGCGAGCTCTCTCACCAAAGAGACCAAGCTGTCGCTTTTGACAGGTACACTAATACAAGCTGAGCTGCATCAAACGAAAAGATTGCTGCTACTCGCGACTCAATTCTACGCAATGCGAAATTATTAATTGGTTGTTCTATTGAATAAAACCTTTGACCATCCTTCTTCAAGGGGGCTGAATGCGCTTAGCTTTACGGTGGACGTAAGTTGCTTGTAGCAGGCCAAAATGGGGGGTGTGATCGGTGAGTTGAAGTGGATAAAAACATATATCATCTGAATAGCACTGACAAAGTGTCATCTAGATATTTTGTTATCACTTTCAATTCCGACTCTGGTCATCATACACATGGTTGTCGCCCCTTACACAAAGGTTGAAGAGTCTTTCAATATCCAGGCGACTCATGACATCTTAGCATACGGCACGCCGACGAAGAACGTGTATCAGCATTTATCCTCTCACTATGACCATTTCGACTTCCCCGGCGCTGTGCCGAGGACATTCTTAGGGCCCGTCTTTCTGGCTGGGATGAGCCAGCCTTTGATCTCTTTAGTTGGCTTCCATCATGCGCAACTCGTCGTGAGAGCCCTCCTAGGCTTGATCAACTCAGCGGCCCTGTTAACCTTCAAGCATAATCTCGGGAGGGCCTTTGGAAGGTCCACTGCAAGATGGTATACTGTGCTACAAGCTTGTCAGTTTCATATACTGTTTTACGCCTCGAGGCCACTTCCTAACATGTTCGCGTTTCCTTTGAGCAAGTAACCCCTGAAGACGTGTTGGCTTGAAGGTATCTATCCTAAGACTAATACATAACAGCAACCCTGGCATTTTCCTATCTCATTCCACATCCTGATCCAAGAAAACAAGGCGTTCGCTACAAAGTAGCCATTGCGCTCTTAACCCTGGCCACCGCCATCTTCAGGTCCGAGTTAGCGATCCTCATGGTAACTGTCACGGTATACGGCCTAATCTCGCCGCCACGCATCTCCCTTCCCCAAATCACCGCGCCATTTCTAGGCTTCTTCGCAGTTGCGCTGCTCGTATCAGTCCCGATAGACTCGTACTTCTGGCAAAAGCCACTATGGCCGGAGCTCTGGGGCTTCTACTACAACGCCGTGCTGGGCTCTTCGTCAGAATGGGGTGTCTCGCCTTTACACTACTACTTCACCTCGGCGCTGCCCAAGATTTTGACAAGCTCGCTGGTATTACTCCCCTTTGCGCTGTGGAATCCAGGGACGGCGAAACAAGCGCGCGCTCTGGCCGTGCCGAGCTTGCTCTTCGTCGCCATATACTCCATCCAGCCGCACAAGGAGGCGCGCTTCATCTTCTACGTCGCGCCACCGCTCACAGCTGCTGCGGCCCTAGGCGCGGGTTACGTGTTCTCCCGACGCACAAAGTCACCCTTTTTTGCCACCGTCTCTCTAGCGATCCTCGGGTCAGTCCTGGTATCGTTTGCGATCAGCACGGTGATGCTCGGAATCTCCTCGCTGAATTACCCCGGCGGCGAGGCCCTCGCGGCGTTCAAGGACCTAGTTGCGTCTACTAAGGACCTAGATATACAGACCGCTGCCGTGCACACGGATGTTTTGTCTTGTATGACGGGCGTGACGCTCTTCGGGCAGCATTCTAACTGGCCCCTTGTGGACAATACTTATAAAGACAATACTATATCCTTCACATTCGATAAGACAGAAGACGAAATGACGCTTCGAAACCCGGTGTTCTGGGAGAAATTCGACTACGTCCTCGCTGAAGACCCTGCGAAACCCCTCGGGCCGTGGGAGGTCATTGGCGTCGTGGAAGGGTTTGCTGGAATTGAGATACTTAAACCGGGATCTTTTGCTACTGGGAATGCTGATGTAGAGAGTGCGGGTGATAGAGTTCTTGGTAGGGGAACACTTGTGAAGAGGGTCAGAGATATGGTCAGGAAGACGACGGGCGGCTGGTGGATTGGTCCGCGCATGGAGCCGAGGATACATATTCTGCGCAAGGTGAGAGGGGGAGAGGCGAGAAAGGCCGTCACGTCTTGAATTTCAGGCGTACCGGATTTCGCTTGCGCTGCGGGGTGCGAGTTTGTTTGCTATGTAATTTATGTATGAAAACGCTGAATTTCTTCCATGAGCATTGCGTATCCGCGGGATGCTGCGTTGCGTGCGCCATGCTTTCCCGCCGAGATGAGCTAACCAAATGACAGTTCGCTTTAACTACCCATTCTCGCGAACAAGTAGTCACGAACATCTTGAACAGCTATGCCACTTCTCGACGTAGTGGATGGCTTCCCCTCTAGTTATTCATCTACTATCAACTTTGCCATGGTTTGATTATTACATTGACAACGCGTTCTATATAAATGCAGACCCAATGATAGACAAAACATACAAAAATGCGTGTTTTACCAGCCAAGGGCAAAGAGATACCGGTATGTCATATGTATGGACTGCTGGATCTTGTTGCTCATTTTTATCCCTCCACGAAGGGGTTTATCCCGTGGTAGGCGGTGCAAGTTGGAGCCACCCCATCTGTTTCTATTCATTGTCTAGCTTACTTAGGATATAGAATGGGCGCCGTCCATGATTCTAATAATATTTCGGAGGAACGAAAGTAAGTATATAAGTACTTGGATATAGGTCCTGCACCTGGGTAAATAAGGTAGGTACCTCAGATTTGCCCTGTGTGCACACGCGCATCTTACTTGGACATACCGACCCGACATCCTGAGCCGGGTGAGACCATGCATCCTTCATTTTCGTGGATGCTACCTAGATAATTGGGGGCTAAGGCTGTGTACTTCGTAAGTCCTTAGGCATGTGTGTATGTAATTCCTTAGGTGGTTACCCGTGACGACCTCCGGTTGGTTTCGGCGCATCGGCTCAGATCAGCTACCACTCCCACCATCTAGTGTTGTAGCTCTTCTCGTTCGGCCTACTTACTTACTCAGGTACTTACTAACTTGGGTCTTATCCTGTGTGTTAGTGTGGGAAATGTGTTAATTAGGTATCATGCAAGTGAGTAGGTAAGATAAGACTAAGACTGGTTGTTGGGGGCGTAGCCTCGTGTGTAGGTTGTTGTTGGTTCTGGGACTGGGATGATGTACTATTCCTTGCGGCAATATGCATACGGAATTGGATATATAGAGGACAACATTCCTTTTCAATCTATAGTCATAGGGCCGGCAGTGTAGGCTGTCCGCTTACAGACAAGCAATTTTCGGTAATATTTGATCCCGCGATTGTCTGCTACCACCCGTATGCTACTTTACGCGCTAGGTCTTCGCGTTTTCGAACCGAATTTTCGGGCCTGCAGAGTTGGCGGCTTGGATTTATTCCGGAAAGGTGTCGAGCACCAATACCTATCTGATGATATATTGACATAGTGTATAGGTATCATGTTTACCTGGGTGCACTTCACGTAACCCAGGTAACATGCTATACTTACTATACTTGTGTATAAATATGTATGTAAAATTCTGGGTCTCCGTATCTTAGGTAGTCTTAGTCTTCTTAGGGTGCGTAGTCTAGATCGACAGCGGCCGGCCCCACGGTTTCTGATTCGGGCCATGACTCTCTATCTTGGAAAAAGAGGGAACCAACCAAGACATGACGACCCCACCACCCCTGAGGTAAACGTGGAGTTGATTGCAGGGATTGAGGGCAGGGGTTCAGACAGGCGCCTCTGCTACACCTCTCAGACCTCTTAACACATGTATGAAAGCATGTAAGTACTATCTATGTACTACATTAAGTAAGAACATTTTCTTAGCGTGGTGCAAGGCCGAGCTGAACCCCTCGAGGATGCAGAGGAATGATGGAAGAAACACAAAATAAAAAAAAGCTTTGATGCCTTGCGGATAGCTAACGAACTGTTCTTATATAGGAAATCTCACATGAGGCAATCTCGAGACCCATTGCACTGGGTCAATCGAATGTTTGCTTGCTTCCTGGTGATGGCTTGATAGCATAATCCAGCGGAGCATTAAGGACTCGTAGATTTACTAATGACGCTGCCTTTGGGCGATAACATTCCGCACTCTACGTAGTACACGTACTGCAATATCTCTTACTACCTATGTATGTATAATCTGAGCCTGATGATGTCAGTCAGGCAATACCGCCATATTCAGTTACAGTAAACTGAAAGACAAGTCTATTTGTAAGTAAGTAAATTTGATCTGCATCGCTAAGCTGTCTAGTAGTCAGTCTAACAATTCTAATGATTGTAGTCTTGATACTGGACGCTTACTTAGCGCTCAAGACAAGCAAAGCATGGGCAGACACGGGGGTGCTTGTATGTACTTATTTCGTACCTGTAGATAGTGAAGGGCAGGTCTTAGTGTGAGCCTAGTGCGAAGATCGTGAGCTACGCTGATACTGCATATATGTAGATTAGCGCTCTATTGTATGTACTAACCTAGTATGTAAATACTTTTAAGTAAGTGTGCCTACGATATCGTGTGGGCCACCGTACACTTAACTCTGTTACAGTACAAACCTGAAACCTACTCGCCTAGTCTGAGCCCCTGGCTAGACTGGGCTTCTCCCAATCTACATTAAGTACTGTATGTACCTATCTACATATGTACCCAATACATAGGATACCGGTAGTCGGTAGTGGTACGGCAACATTTTGTGGCCTCGGCTGGAATTTTGCTTCACTCTAAAAATGTATATGATGTGCATGTCTACACACGGGAGGCTAAGCAGGTATGGCCGAAACGTAGTGTCCTTTGCTGAAGATGATATCCTCACAGGCTACCTACGTTGATATATTCCTACTCAGGGTTGTTGAATAAGGTCGGTTGGGCGTGCGTTGACACTTTATGCGTTACCTTAACAAGGGACCTTTTAGACCAGTCGTGAAGCGCTGGGCTAATTGGGCAAAACCCAAGCCACTGATACGCAGCTTGCAGCCATCCTGCGATAATGACATGGCGATATAACAATTATATAGACGTATGATGTAGTTAGTGTAGGTCGTCAGGTTGGTACCAACAAGCAGCGAGACGAGTACGAATGAGAAGATCCGGTGCCAAAGGTATCGCATAATGCTTTTCACGTCAATGAGCCCAGCCAGGCCAGGCTAGGCCTTGCCTTACCTTCTTACCTTACCTACCTCCTACATACTACATACATAGTTGGAACAGTAGGTACGTGTACCTTATTTGTACAGAGGAAAGTGCATGTACCTAACCTCCTACTTACTTACCTCTTAACTACCAGCAAGCATCCATCGCCCGTCTGCTCTTGTGATGTTGTTCCCTTCCAGGACATCGACACAACCACGGATGCTAGATTAGGTAGAACATAGTATACACGGCGATTCTACCTCTCTTTCTATCAGGTGCTACGCTGCGTTGCACCGCGCTGCGTGCTCTGTGTCTGCTCTGTGCTTTGATTTCGTGCCTGGGACACTCTACTTACCTACCTCCAAGCAAAGTCCCACGTCCCATCAAACTCCACAGCCGATCTATCTTTACTGTACATGTTATACTGTCCAGTCCCGTATTGTTTGATCGTCCCATTCTGCCCTACCCAAAATCGCATACCAAGAAATTAACTAGCGAAACTCAATCTTGTAAATAAACATATGTTCATTCCATCATCGCGCATCACCGAAAACTGCAGCGAAGCCTGTCAAACCCGCCAAACCTGTCAAAACACCTCAACCCAGGTCAGGCACCCCTCCAATACCTCTGCCCGTCATCACCGCCGCGCCCAGCCGCCGTGCTTACTTAGAATACCTACGACCCCCGGCTTCCGGCAACTTGGCGAGCTTCGTACTGTGCGTGGGGAGGGCCAGCACCAAATACGAGGCACGAGGGCAGCAAACATCACACCTCAATTTGCTGTCCTGCCGTCTACGCGGATCAAGACGGCAAGTTAGGCCTTTCGATCGACGTTGCTCCGTACCTATGAGTTCGCACTTCCTCTATCTGCCGTGCGCTTTCTCCCTTTCCCTATTGCCTCACCTGCTTAGCAGACATGGAAAATGATATCAGCCCCGCCAGCGATGGTGGTCGCTCCTCGCGACGAGACCGCCTTATGGGCAAGTTGTTCAAGGCTCGGGACAAGAAGTTGACTAGCGAAGAGAGCGCAAACGAGATCTCCGATTTCTTAGGCACTTCGGACAGGTTACAGGTCACGCACCCCCCGCCGAGACCGCCCCCCTTCCAGAATAACGGGCCCCCGACATTGGCTCTGGACACGACCAAGGCGAGCCGCTTCACTAAAGCCGCAAACTACGTGAACTCGTCGCATTCGCAGCAGAACATTCCTTTTCGTACACAGTCGGGCAGCCCACCACGTCCGCGGACGCATAAGGGATTGACCGTTAGTTTCACTGATGCTTACCCCGACATTATTGGTGAGGGGGGTGACGAATGCGAAACTCCTGTCGCCGAGATTGGCAAACGAAGACCCAGGCCAACCCCTGCGAAACAAGCAAGCCAATATGGAAAGCAGTTCAGCTCCTCGAAAGCTGCTAACCAGGCCGAGGATAACTTTGTGCCTGCTCCTATACGGCGAACGCAGACGGGCTTTTCTACGAAATCTGATATTGAGCGTAATATTTCTGTATCAACTTCCACGCGGCATCCGCCCGATACTCCAAGGCAAAATATTATTCCTGCCGGAGAGCCTGCGCCTTCCCGTTTTCTCGATACAAGCAATCACCATGATGAGAACCGTCGATCGTTCATTGAAACTCACCAGCAGGAGCAGAGGAGAGCTGAGGGCATGGCACTAGCGGAGGCCATACGGTCTGCCAACAACAGTGCGCACCCCGATTCAGACGAACATCTCTCGTCGCCCGAATCTATTCATCATTCGGCTAGCCTTCGACAGCAATATTCCGCTGCGGTGTCGCCTCCACGCAAGGCGCCACCTTCACCCGCTGTAAGCGAGAAGCCCTCTCGATCTCCCGTGCCTCCGCCGTCCTTGGCGGAATCTGTTTCTTCCATGCTACGAACGCAGTCTACAAGATCGCCCCTCACACCTCCGGAGAAAAATCCGGCTAGAAAGTCACCTCTCCCTCACCAGGATTCCGCGCAGTCCACCTTCATGAAGGCGCCCTTACCGCCTATTCATACCGAGCAACTTCCCGACTTCAACAGCCAGCCATCTAGAAGGTCACTCGACGAATTAAGAATTGTCACCGATTATTCAAATGATAGCCCCCCTTCAGCATATCTAAGCTCTGTACACTCGACTTCCGATGCATCTTTCAAATCAACACCTATTACCCAAAATCCGGCAGCGCGTGGCTTTGTTTCACCTTCTGTTGATAGGACAAAATCTTTGCGAGATGTTGTAGTGGCGGCCGGCGATGATGCGTTTGACACCTTCGTCTCTCGTACAAAGCACTTGTATGAATTGTTCCGGTTATATGCTGAGCAACAGAAGCCACTTGACACCGCCCGGCCAGAAGACATGAGCAGAGCGTCTCTCTGGTGGTTTCTGAAAGGCAGAACCTCTTTAGAAAATGTTATTAGGAACCGTCCGCAGGATCCTGAGGAGACCCGTCATTTAATTTCACGCTATCAAGCTTATACAGACTTGGCAAAAGGGTATTGGTTAACTGAAATTGCCCTTCCTGAAATCGCAGAAGGGAAGTATAGTCCGGTGGGTGGGGAGTTGGGGGAAGTGAGACAAGCTTTAATGTCTAATCTGCGAAAGTTGGCAATTTCTATGAAAAGGAACGGGTTTCTACCACCTGATGAGCCTTTCCTTCCACAGACTATGGACAAGTCTATATGGATAGAATATCCGTTGCTCAGCCAGGATATCATTGCACTGCTTAACGGAAAATGGGGTTCGCTGCTGACGGCACAGCAACCTACCCGTTCAATGGAAGCGCTAGACGCGTTGCCTATTGGCGATACGAGCAAATATTTCATGTATACGAGGGTTAATGTGGACGTATATCTCATGGAGCAAGGCATCGAATCTTCGCAGACTTATTTCCCCTGCATGCTCTCTGTTGTTCGATCACCAGAGGAACCGAATCTAAACTTCGTCGTGGCAAGCCAAAACGGAAGCGTCTCTCTACGAATCCAGGCCGATAAGAAAGCCGGCCCAAGTTGGCAAAATGTGAAATGGCGCCCGGATGCTTGTTCTATCGAAATCAAGCTACCAAGGGGCTTCTTACTCGCAATTCAATGCAGCCAGCAAGATTTTAAGGTATTATGGGGCATCTTCGACTTCAGCAACAAAGTACAAGGCTATCTCTATCCGCGCCAGGACGAAGTACTTGCGCACAGCCTGACGCTCAAGGGTTTCCACTACTTCGATTCTAATCCTCAGGGCAGGGCATTTCCAAAAGAAGCTGTTGGTCAGTGCCAACTAGGCCTTTTCGAGAAATTGTTGAAAGAGAATAGCCCGACAGGACCCCGGACTTTTCATCGCGGTTTCCGACTTGCCGTGGTTACTGGGCCAAAGATTCGGACACTAAGTGGAGTCTCTCACATCTTCCCACCACAGCTTCCAGTCCAGTTCGCTATGTTGCGCGGCGAACAGCGATCGCCGCTTCTCCAACTGGAGTTCAATACAGGCAAAGAGCGTGGTCGTATGGTATTGTCATTTGGCGACGAGCAGGAGCGAGAGAAAGTCTTAAGGTTGATTAGCGGAAGCTATATTCACTCTGATGAGGAGGTAGTAACGGATGTGCCATTAGAAGGCATGAGCATCTCAGAAGGGGTTGCTGATATCAAGGGTGGGTTTGCGGCAACCCAGCGATTGCCATGGCAGCGAGCTCGCATTATAAACGACCGATTTGCTGGCGAGGAGCCGCAGACAGTATTAGCGGAGAAACTTAGGATCGAGATTGATTCTGTGGATAAGACTGGAGTTGGCATTGTTAGCACCATCACAGACCGCGTGAATGTTGCGCCAGGGGAGCTAAGGTTAAGGCTTGGCACCAAGGACATTCTGACTCTCCAAGTATTGAGACAACGACAGCTCGACCTTACCGTGTCGCTTCTTGAAACGGGCGTGCCAAAGGAATGCCTTCGCGAGTTTGCCAGTCTCCAGAATTCCATTCAGAGCAACCCGACGGTGCGGACTTATCGTTTTCCCAGCTTCAAAGATTTGCACGCCTTTCAATTAGGGCTTACCGGGTATTCAGTTCTTTTCGACGGGATAGCTGCCAGCCTCAACATCTCGCGAAGAATGATGGTGGTTCCGATCCACAAGAAGTGGGAGGCTGGTACGACTCGCATCCAGGTAGTGCAGCAGGAGGGAACGGTTCAACTTCTCGCTTTCTTCGAGGATTGGCACCATGGTCAATGTATGGGGTTTGTTCTCAAGGGTACTGATGTCTTCGAATGTTTTAGTCGAAGCGGGAAAGCCGGACTGAAGCTAGCGGATGCCAAATTCCCTCTTCCGAAGGTTCCGGCTGATGGCTCATCCAATACGGATGAGATGGCTTTTCTATGCCTCGATATGCCAGATTTTGCCGGAGAGCATGATGATATTACTATTCTTTTTGACGACAGTCTTGGTAAGGGTAAATTCCTTAAAACACGTGATGAAATGCGCTAACAAAACGAGTAGAACGGGATCGTCTTTGCTCCGTGTTGCCGGCGCCTGTTAAAGGGTCCCGAATGAGTAAAATCAAGTAAGGTTAGCATATGAAACGAAGACATGAGAATATGACTAGAATTGCGATGGTATCCCTTAAAATGTGGGGAATTCGAATATCATTGTACAGGAAGAAATAGACGTCCATATAGCCTAGGCTGTGGACTGATGAGGGCTGTGCACGCGTCGATGAGCAGTGCGCAAGCGAAATGAGCCTACTCCTGAGGGCTGTAGCCAAGAGCATAGATACGGCTGACAAGGACAACTCGCATCGTGAGGATGTACATCTGCGGTTACTTCAAGCCGATAGCAGAAGAAACGCCTCTTTCCCATGTTATGTTTGCTGTCTTAGCTCTAGCATACCCTAGGGATAGATAGATCAAGGGGAACACCGGAGACCAAGCATACATACCATGTATGACAGCAAATGGGTGGGCTGGATATATATTGTTCAAGTTTGGAAATGTCGAAGGGGCGACGGAAGTTGTCAATGCTCGACCTACCTACATAGGTACCTACTTAGGATACGCAGCAAGAACGGAACATAATAAAAAGCAGAAAGCAGCTAAGAAAGTGGAGAATATTCTTTTTGAATAAGCGTGCATGATGCCGAAATCAATCGAATCTCCATTTAGCGAGATATGAGGATTTACAGTAAGGGCAGGTATCGCAAAGTTATGCCACCTCACTTGTCGGGTTTATTAATGGACACGGGTTCCTGGCAAAACCCGTCCTGTTCGTACTCCTGTACGTACCTACAATATGTATGTAAGTACTACCTACGATGAGACAATACCTGCAGTAACTTGAATGAATAAATGCTGCCTACTACACATGTACATTTGCTTCAGCTTTCACGTACCTATATAGATTACGTCATTCCCTGGGCTAAACTGCTTCTGGGGTCCACGATTCTGATCCATTGGTCCTCAGTTGCTGACATCAGGTGCAGTTGTCAGCTACGCAGTACTACCTATGTATATGTACAATAGGAGTGTGTGTGTGTGTTGGATAATATGTTCTCATCTAAGGAGTTGACGTATGACGACTGCTTTGCTTCTGCGTATAGTATGAGTACTTGTAATTGATTTAAGGGCGAGAATGGGTTGGCTTGTGGGAATTGTTGTTACTTAAGATCCGACCCCGCTATCTGAGTTAACCAGGCAGAACCCGGTATAGGTACCTGCTGTACAGTAGGTAGGTAAGGGGCGGAGAATTAATCCCCTGCATGTCTAAGTGTAAGTGTAAGTACTACCTTGGTGTGCCTGGCTTGGGGTGGTGAGTGATGAAAATTGGCATTTCGGTAACTTCGGTATTGTATTGTTAGGATATGGGAATTGCTATCAATAATGCCTTTGTTCCTTGTCAGGAAACCGGACCAAGGTCCAATCATAGTACTTGAGAAAGTCAAAGCTGGAATACATAGTAAACTGCTGTGCAGCGGTTAGTGTACCCAGCTCAACGGAACCAGATTGTCATTTATTCTCGTTACTCTCCCCCTCGCCCCTTTACCCCACCATTTGCGAAAAGCGGAAAGCGGAAGATCTTGTAAGTAAGTAGATACATACCTAGGCCATCGAGATGCCACACAATAGATAGATACTTCTCGCAGGGAGCGCCAAGGGCAGGTGACCAAACGACCGACTAACCGACTGACTGGCTGGCTGGCTGGCTGACTGGCTGGCTGACTTAATAGCGGCGACTCCTCCCTGGTCTGGTGAGGTCATCGGTCATCGGAACTGGCGCGCGCGCAATCGATAAACATAGCCATCATGCCCTAGCCCATCTAGAATCAGCTCCAGGTAGCGAAGCCCTCCCTAATGCTGTCTAGACATACTTACGGAGTGCAGCCGCCGGTGAATTCCTGGTAGGTATGTGGACTTCTGAGGTTACTAGGTAGCTTACGGCAGTACGCCAGGGTACAAAAAGTAAAGTAACCCGCGGCCTTGAAGGAGGGGTTCACTAGGTACGTAGGAGCATACATAGGTAGGTACCGCCCACTCCCTAACCTTATACCAGTAGTAGATAGTACCTAGGTATTATCACATTCTCCAGCTACATACCTACCTACCTACCTACCTACCTACCTTTCTTGCACCCTCCCTAGTGTGAAAGGCCGTCTCGTAGGCTTCAAGGTTCTTTCGCTATTTTCCTCTTTGCTCTCTTTCCAAGGTCCTCGGGTCGCACCTCCACGAAACAGTCACAACACCATGCACGGCTCTAAGATCGCTTCGGGCCTGACCCGTCGCCATAGGACACACTCCAATGCTAGTACGAGCCAACCCTACCAGCCCAGCATCGCAACCGACATAGCTCGCTCAGTACCGCTGACTTCATGACGTACGTAGGTAGCAAGTCGTCCGGGAGTGTTGGCGATGTCGAAGACGACACCACTGTCATGGAGCCCGACCAGGGAAACGGTTCGTGTTCTCGATCCTCTCGTCGCAAGACGTTTTGGGAAGCCTTGCGCCCGCTGACCACATGGTCCAGTCCTCACCCACATCATCTCTCAACTCCGGCCAGGCGCCGATTTAAGTCGCGTCGTGCTTCCTACCTTCATTCTTGAGCCGCGGAGCATGTTGGAACGAATCACCAAGTAAGGACTGTTGGATAACGAATGAGCGATGGGATGAGATATATCAAGGCTAACATGGCGTCTTTCTCCTACCCATAGCTTCATGTGCCATCCGGAGATGCTTCTTGGCATCCCTGATCTGGAGGACCCCGTCGACCGCTTCGTCTCCGTCGTAAAGTTCTACCTAAGTGGTTGGCACATCAGACCACCGTAAGGTCGCCAATTCTGCCCCTTAGCATTCACCCTCCCTACAGGCGCCTCCAAGTCCACCACCACTAACAATGAGGTTATAGTGGTGTAAAAAAACCTCTGAATCCCATACTAGGCGAGGTTTACTCTTGCTACTGGGATTTGCCCGGCAGCAAGCGCGCATACTACATATCCGAACAAACCTCACATCATCCTCCCAAGTCGAGCTACTTTTACATGGCCCCTGATCATCACATTCGCATAGATGGCACTTTGAAACCTAGGAGCAAATTTCTTGGTAACTCGGCTGCTAGTATGATGGAAGGCGTTGCCGTCCTGAGCTTGTTGAACAGGGGGCAAGATTCAAAAAGAGGAGAAAGATAGTATGCCCCAATTCGCTCCCCTTATGGAACTCACCCATGTTGACATCTCTTACTAGTTGGCTGACACAGCCGAATATGTATGCCCGAGGGATCTTGTTCGGAAACATGAAGTATGAGCTGGGTGATCACAGTGTAGTCCGTTGTCCCGAATTAGGTCTTACCGCCGACATCGACTTCAAGGTGAAAGGATGGGTTGGTGGCACGTACAACGCAATTGGTGGCAACATAAAGGACGAAAAGACTGGCCAAATATTATTTGAAATTTCAGGCCTTTGGAGCGAAGAAATGTTCGTCAAAGACCTAAGAGTAAGTTATTTCCAACCAAGACTTCCGTACGTACTGGGATCGATACTGGACCTAACTATGCGATAGAATGGCAAAAAGGAAATGTTTTTCGATGCTCGGAAAATGAAACCCTCGAAACCCAAGGTCAGACCTATCAAAGAGCAGCAGGAGCATGAGTCACCGAGGTTATGGCAAAGGGTAGCTCGAGCTGTCAAAGATAAGAACCACGAGGTCGCCACTGACGAGAAGACCAAAATTGAAGACATGCAGCGAGAAGAAGCCGCGAAAAGAGCAGCAGCGGGTGTTGATTGGCATCCGAAGCTTTTTAGACCGATTAAGCCTGATATTGATGGCCATGACGAAGATATGGAAAAACTAGAGTGGATCATCAAAGCGACGATGTGAGTTGCGAAGATCTTAGTCTCTGGTATATGCTGACTCTGGAAAAGCGACGGTGATACGCCTCAAAGGCAGGCTGAACAGATTATGGGTATCTATCCTATATTAGAAGGTCAGGTAACTCATGAAGAGGTGATACCTCCTCACCATGCATCACCGAGCACTGCCAAACCCCCTGCCAACGACAACATGGACGGAGACTTGATTGACTTTGGACAAAACGACGGCCCTACCCCAGCACAAACAAGCTCATCAACGACAACTGGAAAACATCCTTCGACCGATATCAGCAACATGCTAGAATCCACCGGTCAGAAAGCTAATGGCCCCCTCCTGGACTTTTCAGGGGATTTGAAAGAGAATCTCCCCTCTGAGAAGGCTAGTGTGCCTCAAATGAAGAGAGCAGATACGCAGGAAAGCAATGATGCTTTCTTCGATGCCGAAGAATGAAAATGGCAATTCGATTGACAGAGAGAGAAGTACTCACTGTAGCTAAGAAGTTGGCATTGGTTGAAGAACAAAGCATCTTATGACATGGACGGAACACTAGACAAAAGCAATATCAAGGAGGGAATATCATGAGGTCAAAAAGAACCTCAAAGCCATCTCCAATGACTTGTACTCCGGGATTCTTGTCTACATGCAAGTAATGCCGAATAGAAAGGGGGATGAGGGAGAGACGGATGGAGGCACTTGACCCAAAGTCAAAACGCGGAGGAGCTGCTCTGAAGATGGACGAATACACGTGCTTCAATCGATCAACCGATTGTTGAAGGATGTTGAGATGCAGTCTGTCCTGACTTCATCAGAGTCTGACTGAGTCTGAGCATGAATCTGAGCCGCTGTATATACCCATAGAAATAGCCTGACTGGTCAATAATATCAAATTATATTAGATGAGTAGATGTGCATTGATTTGATTCCCTTTTTCCCTTTTCCCCTTTTCTTCTTCTTTCGTTCCTCTTTCCGTATTCTTAGCATCTTAGATCGTACCTATCTATGTATTATCTGCAGTTAGATATATTAGTTTCGTATCTAAAACGTAGCGAGGGCTATCCTTTTCTACAGAAGGGTGGATGAAAGTACTTCAAGCGTGTTATGAATTGGGCAATGTGTAAATGGGTTCCGCCATGAGTTTAGTCACCGTGAAACAAAATTTTACCGTAAGAGCACGTTTATTGGGAAGAAAATGGGATGGAAAACAGATATTGATTGGGGGTATCAAATCAGACATTATTTATCCCTGCCGCTAGTTGTTGTTACATATCTGTCTGTCTGTCTGTTTCTGTCGGATGGGCGTGCCGACTTCATTCGCATGGACCCGGTCCTTTCACGTCCTTATAAACTTTGTTCCCATTTATCAATAGACGCATCTTTCCCCTTATTGTGTGTCAACGAGGTTGGTTTGCCATTTCCCTTGTTCAAAGCCTGTACTTCATGACCTATGATTATGCATCGCCATAATGATTTTGCGAGATGTCGCGTTTCTTTCTTCGTTCATTTCCATCCTTCAAATTACCATCATCCTTGATCGATGAGTAGCTCAGCTGCCCATTTCGTCTAACTGATACTTCGCAAATGGCGGGAATCAAAAGCTGTGAGTTCCATATGTTGTATGACATCCAGAACTGCGGTCGACCTGGTCTTGTTCTCTTTTCCCCTCCGTCGTTACTCCTCCTGCTCTGCTACTGCATCTGCTATCGCTCTCCTAGAACCTCCGACGCGTGGGCTCGGGACTCGGACTCCGGGAAACGCTCTTCTCGTCGCGGCCGCGCATCTTGAGCCATTTCTTGGTTGCGAGCGTGAGCTCACGGTCGAGTTCCGGGGTGGGATTTTTTCGATGGATGAAGTTGCAAAACCCGCCGCGCACGCAGCCCTCGCCCGAATTCAGACGACAACACGCTTCCCGGAAGTCCGTCACGGGCGACAACTCGCAGTATATAGGCCGGCCGGCGTACCAGCGACTATTCAACTCGTCGCAAGCCTTCTGGGCAGAATCTTCGTACTTGAAACGGGCGTACACGTTGCCGATTAAGTGGTCGTTGGTGTTGTCGCAGACGACGAGCTCTTCCAGCTCGCCGTACTTGCAGAGCTCGCACCACAGGTCCTCGTAGAAGGCATCGAAGTGGTTCATGCATTGCTCGGGCGTCAGGCGGGATTTGGGGTCGTGCGCTGGGTTCTGGTACATGCTAGGCATCAGGATGGTTTGCGAGTACGAGGGCTTCACGTGCTTGCGGGAACAGCGGTCGCCGTGCCGGCATGCGCCGATCTTGTAGTAGAAGGAGCAGTTGACTTTGTCTTGCTCTGTGCCGAAGATGGACGCGAGGAAGTTGGCCATTTTGGAGGGCGCGTCTTCGTCGTCGCGGTGTAGTTTGGAGTGTTCAAAGGTGAGTTGGGGATGGACCTTGTCGAGCGCGTGGGGATATGCGATTGTCGACGGAGTCCAATTGCAGTATTGGTGGTGAGCGGGTGAGCGGGTATGACAAGGCTATTTCGCGATTGTTAACTTTTTTACACGGGGAAGAATGAGGATTGGGATTTAGAGAGCAGGAAAGGCTGAGGTGGAGAATTGCATAAGTACAGGTCCTGGAGGTCAGTGTGTACTAGTGTACATGTACTATGTACATATGTGTAGGTATATGTCAGTATATGGCAGTACATGTAGGTACATATAGGTACATGTAGGTTAGGTATGTACATTCATTGAAGTGGAGGAGTTGGTCGAAGGCTGCGGCCGGCCAATCAGCCCCAGTAGGGTGGGCCACTACCACAAAGTGCGAAAATAAAAAATCAGGTTAAGTGCGGGGTAAAACTTATTTTCCAACTTTACCTAAGGGATTTAAAAGT